CCTAGCTATATGTCTCTTTACGTGGTTCCCCTTGTTTAAGTCTGTTGAATTAGCCTAATACCAGTCTCGGCATCCATATACGCCTCTCTTTAAGCCAGTTGGAAAAGCACCTTGAATACTAAGGCAATCAGTTTACTTTCGATTATAGCATCAGCAATTTAGATGCTTTCTGTTTCCCATTAAAATAATACAGATCTTCGGACTCTCCCAGACTTAATTTTTAAGGCTGCTCCTCAGCACAACTTTGAAAAAAAAGGGAGTCTGCCAAATTTTTGATCTAATCTTTCCATGAGAAGAAATTGCGATTCTCTCAATATGCAAAAACTCTGAAATGTTGTTTAGGAAAGGCCAAGGGAAAGGTGACTGGGGCTCCCAGGTGTTAGGATAATACAGATGAAGAGCAACAACAACAACATTATTTTGTAGAAAGGAGAAAAGACCTTTAATTCATGTAACAACTTTTGTGTAAAGACCTCAACGTACTTTGTCAAGTACCTTTTTCTGCTTTGCAGACGAGGAAACTAGGGAGCAGAGAGATTACATGACTTGCCCAAGGTCACACAATGAGTCAAATGGCAAAACCAAAACCAGGATCCAGGTCTCCCAACTCACAGTTCCCAGCTCTAACCACTAGGGAAGTGTCTAAATCACTTAGGCAAGGTGCATTATGTGATGTATTTTGGAGATCTATAGAGCAGATGAAATTGCTGGCTTAGATTGAACTGGGGGCTCATCCATCTTCTTCGGAAGATATTTTAAAGAGGGATTCTAGATTGCAAGCTCTTTGAGGCAGGGACCATCTTTTTGTTCTGTGTTTGTACGGCGCCTAGCACAGTGGAATCCTGGCCCACTGCTGGGGCTCTCAGACACCACCGCAATACTACAAAATAACAATAGGTCTATGTCCCCTTCATTTGCAGTCTTACTCTAAAGATTAGGGTTTTTTGCATCAAATAATGTAGCTTTCAGCTTCTTTAATCTAAGCACATTGGTCTCTTGCCTAGTTTCTGGGTGGAAAGTTTGCAATTCAGGATCCTCTCAGTTTTGGACTGCTGGTGCCTGAGTGCACAAATAAAAACCCATTACCTGTTCAGTATGTTTCCTGCATCTCCAGTGTGCAAGTCTGGAAAGACTCGCCCCGAAGAGTCTGCTGCTTGTTAAAGCTTAGCTGGATTAGCTGTTCTGTTTATTGACGTTTTAACTGGAACTTGTTTGAATTCAATCGTTAGCATTAATACTATGGAAAATTTCATCTGAGAAAACTGAGCTGACAGCAGAAAGAGCCAAGGAAATATGCCAATAACTGAAAGCTCATATGAGCAGCTGCCATTGGCGGATGTTTCCTGTCAATCTTCCTGTCGAAAGAGTGCAACCCATCAGTTTCACGCAGGTGGAACTGGAATGCAGAAAGGATATTAAATAGGTTGCAAAGTCTCTTCGTAATGAAGAAAATGGACTCCACATGAGGCTGGTGCGTGACTCTGCCAAGCAGGTCTGTCTTTCTCTAAAGTAGAATCATACACTGTGTGTTCCTAATGCTGTGCTCAAACCTTTTAGACAGGGCTGATGTTTGCTCTTTACAAGAAGGCCACAAACTTCCATCACGCTCATGTGCTAGACGCGATATAGTTATAATGATATTCCAGATGGATCAGCTGTGTCCATATGCTCACAGACTCGTTACACCATAGACCTGAAGACACAATTCTCTAAGCTAAGGGTAGGTCTTCACTGAAGCTGGATGATGTCATTTCCAGCTCGAGCAGACATATCTGCACTAGCTCTGATTGAGCTGGAGCCTAAAAACAGGGCGTCGAAGTGGTGGCACGACTGGCTAGCTGCCCCAAGGACAGTCCCATCTGAAACCCTAGGCACACGCACCAGCAGCTAGCCCGTTCTGCCACCATGGCTACACTTCTAACTTTAGCATGCTGGCTTGATCAGAGCAACCGTCCCTTCAAGCTGGAAATTACGTCTCCGGCCGCAGAGTAGACATACCCCGAGTCTCCACTTTCTTCTTTAAAAGAAAGACGGCCTGTTTGCATCTACCATCAAAGGATGCTAGTGGCATGAATAATTCAGAAAGTTGGGATATATGCACAAAGATGACCTTTGGTGCCTTCAGTCCTCTATTCCAATCTCCCTCCCTCACCCCCCCAAAAACACTTCTGCTGTAAACAACAATTTCTTCGGTCAAGATCTGGCAGGTGCTTTTCAGCTTCTTCACTGGATTTAAAATAATCTGGAAATGTTGCACTCAGACCCATCTCTTCTAACTCCTGTGCCTGAGCTTGTGGTGTGAAACTGGCAAGGGACAGAACAAAATGGACAAGGAGCGTGGGGACTGGGAAACAGCAGTATTAGAAGGTTTTTTGCAGCTAGTTCTCTTTTTGAACAGGTTTGGTGGGTGTTTGTTGGGGAAAAAAAACCTTGGGAAGTGCCAGGTTCATTTGAATCACCTGTACGTAGTCTCTGAAAGTCCGATTTCAATATCTCTTGTTCCTTATGCAAACCACTCTAGCCCTGGAGACCACAGGCAGATGATTTACATAGTTGTTCGAAAAATTAGTGCATTAAGACATCGTATCTAGTTATACTTGTGTCTTCTGGACAGATAAATAAAAAGGGCTTCTTGGTGCCCCAGCCATCAAATCCTGTAAGCGATCAGCTTTGTTCTCTACATACAGTTCCGAGGAGGAGCCATCTGGAGGCATTATTTCATGATGCTAAAGGCTGCCTCTAGCCCCTAGGCCACACACTGTGCACCTCTCTGATCTCCAATCCAGTGGTGAGACACTGTTTTGATACTGTGCATTGAAAGATCGCAGCCAGTTTTAAGCACCAAAAAAAAAAAAAAAAAAAGTTTCCCAACTTGCACACACTCTTTTCTGGCTTCCACCAGAGCACCTCTAAGAGAACAGATGCCCCTGCAGTCAGACCAAAACTCACTGCTTTCCGTTTGTTAGAAGCTGTGGCAGCATAATGATGCGGGACCCCACCACGAAGCTCTGGGTGTGAGTGCAGATAAATCTGCCATGCACTTCACGTTGCATTTCAGCTCAGGAACTAAACTCTTGACCCATGGAAATGAACCAAAATATTGTTACTCGGTCTTGAGAACAGGGCCCAAAGAGATTTCCCTTCCCTGACCCTCTAGGGTGTAAATGTGGCTGACACACTCAGATTCTTTCCTTTCATTGTTTTAGCTTCCCATGAGCTCAGCAAAAGCTGGACCTGTAGATCACCCTTCCCCCACTGCAAAGTCTGGCTCCAAATCACAACAACATCAGCAAGCCATGAACTTTCAAAAGGTTTGCTAGTGCTGTAGAAGTTTCTAGTTTGGCTACACCACTCTCTCTCTCTCTCTCTGAAGGGAACATTCATGACTTCAGCTCGATTGTCTGTGCTGTTTTACAGATCAGCCGTGGGGCAGGCTTCCAGGTTCATTTCTTTCTGCTCAGTTCACATGGATTGGATCACAGGGCAGGGTGCGCGCTCTCTCAACGCCCCTGCCAAGTTCTGTAAAGCCTTGCGGGAGAAAGGACACTCAACACTGCAATGTGAACGGACAATTTATGACACATTTTCCTAAAAGCTTGCTCTGGACAACCTGATCCTCTCTTCCTAATTCCCATTAAGGTTGGACAAGCCAGGATGCGTCATTACTCACTCCGGTCGGTGCACGTTTAATGACCTAGAACAAGATGGTCACTATTTATGCCTGTGATATCATTCAGTGTTGAGGCTGACACATGGGACAAACCATAAAATTAGGCTTGAAAGTGTCTTCTCTCTAGGAAAGTTTTACCAGTTACACAGGTACAGTTTTACCGGGTCTAACCTGCCTTATGGACATTCATTTCCAGGATACATGTAGCTCTCTTAGTTTTAGCTTAAACCCTTTCCCAAGTGCCATAAACCAAAAAGCCACTCTTACCCTGGAATAAAAGTGTCCACACAAGGGTTATACCAGCATAACTAGATTGGTTTAAGTTCACACCTCAGGTTATACTGGAAAACGTTCTCATGTAGACAAGGCCTAGGGGGTTGAGAGGACCATGATATTGCGATGGTGTATCCGAGGTATTAACTATCTGAATGGGATCAATTAGCTGTGTGATGAAAAGTAAATGGCTCGCCCTCTTATTGCTAGTCTCCGAGCAGCAAGATGCAAATCAGACCAATCACTAGCAGTGGAGTGCCCCAGTAATGGAGGTTTCACAGCATCTCAGAATCTCTAAGCAGTACTAACGTAATTACTGTAGTGTAAGAGCATGGCCTGACACCATAATACTACATACAATTTAAACACCTTGAAAACCTTCGCTCTTTGGGCTCAGTTAAAAGTTTTGCACACATACCTTGATGGGCTCCAGCGTTTCTCCACTGGCAATGTGAAAATCCTTTAGCAAAAAACTGATAAGACAAAGGGAATGACATGCCCCCGCCAGATGTAATAGTTTAATACTATTTATCATTTTATCCAAAACCCAGAAACTGGAATGAGGCATCAGAGTCCAAGGTACCTGAAAGACAGCTGGGATTCTGGGGTTGGGCAGACAGGCCCACTTAGCAGATACACTGATGGATCTGCACTGGACATCTCAGGAGATGCTGAAAATCATGATTCAAATAAAGTCAAGGAGCCAAAACACCCCTCTTCCCTGAAAAATACTGTACCGAAAAAGCCAAGAGAAGTTCTGATAGACTAATATTGTGTGCACTATGGGGAGTCGCGGGTGGGGGAGACAAGGAACAAGCTTTTCAAACCTGACCATGAGAGTTATCAACTCTTCCTTCCAGGTAGTCAACTCTTAAATGGCAGAGACCATCTCTGTCTCAAACAGCACCAAGGTCTCTGGCGGCATTTCAGCGATAAAGTTATATGAATTCTGCAAGGAATGCACTGCTTCAGAATAGCACAAGAGATCAGGTCAAATTGCAGATGAACCTTTAACCAGCAAATGCCACTTAAAACAACCCGCATCAGGAGCGCTCACCTTGAAATCTGCCAGCTGCTGTCTGATGGTTTCCACCTCAGTCCCTACAATCCACTGCAGCGCCTCATTCTCCTCCGCTGCACTGGCCATGTGATTCAGCTCCTTCAGTTTGTCATAAAAGTCCTCGACTCGAGAGAGTGTCGTTTCTACTTGCTCTTGGCGATTTTTGCCCCTTTCCGTCAGCTTGCTGCACTGTTTATTTAGAGTCTCCAGTTCACGTTTCAGCCCTAACAAGTCAGGGCTTCCTTCATCCTCCAGCATGTGCCTGCACTCCTCTTCAGAAGCTTCAATGTCTGACTTCAGCCCCTGAAGTCTGCCCAGGAATGTACGAACATCCTCGGCTTGAGACTGGAGGCTGTCAATGTCTCTCCCGATGGCACCCATGCTATCAAGTTCATCATCTAGATCTGCCAGTTGAGAGAACATCTCCCGGACATGGTTATTAAACTGGCCGATTCCTTCAAGCTTGGTCTCCATCAGCGAACAGCATTCATTTACTCTTTGTTTCACTATTTTAAAGTCCTGCTGGGAATCCTCGGCTTGCCGTAAGAGCTGGGAGCAGTCAGACCCATCTGGAGCATCTTCCACCAGGCCTTGTGTGAAGTTCTTCAGATAATCCACCTGCGGCTCCAGGGCCTGGAGCACTTCTTGCTGAGACCTCAACTTCTCCAAGTTCTTATTGCTGCAGGCTTGAGGTCCTAGAGCATCATAGATTTCTAGCTGATGCTTTGCCCCTTCCAGCTTCTTCTCAATGTTCTTAAAGTTTTCTTGGAACTCCTTTAGCCTTTGCGACAGTTCTTCAGTGGACCCAGTCTTGGCTTGCAGCTCTTCTGTAATGGCATCCATCTTCTGATTGATTCCGGCTTTCTCATCCCGAACCTCATCCTCATCAGTCTGACAAGCATCTATCAAGATGTCAGCTGCACTGTTCAGCATCTCCAGAAGGGAGCGGCGCTTCTCCACATCACTGAGCATAGCCTTTGACCTCAGAAGGCCTGCCTCCAACTGCACAGGGTCCAGAGTTACTTCCAACTCCGACATCTTCGCCCTGCAGTCCTCAACCCAAGGAAGGAGGTCTTCCATGTGCCGCTGGTATTTCTGGGCCTTCTGCAAACAGTCCTTGAGTCTGGAGTTTCTATCTGTGACCTGTTTGCTGAGCTCATCCCAATGTGTTTTGAGGCCGATCAGCTGGCTTTGCAGGGCAGTCTTCTCCTCCCCAGGCTGAACCGAGAGAAGCAGAGACTCTCCCTCAGCCACAATCATCTCATAGGAGCCACTATGCTGGTTGAGACTCTTCTGGAACTCTTCTTGCTCCTGGATTTGACACTGCAGCCTCTCCAGTTTAGCAGAAATAGGCCGGCTCTGGGCTTGCTGGCACAGTTTGTCATCCAGCCAGGTCCTAAGCTCGTCAAACATGTGCTGGAACTGCTGGGAGCTTGCGAGTGCAGTCTGCAGTCGATTCATCCGGTCGGCTGAAATGGAAATAAGATTAGAATGTAACAATTAAGCTGGAATCTAATAAACTAGGTGAAATTGTTTTTTAAAAAAAATCTCGAATGCGCAAGCTGCATTCTGACTAACTGAAACGAATTCCTCCCCTTGCACGTCAGCACCTTTCGCTCGTCAGGTCATGAACAACTTCAGAACAGAGTTAGGAGACAGTAAACACAATGGAGAGGTTTTTTGGGCTACGAGGCCTCTATATGCAAACCACCTGGGGGGCGAAGATGCCCCTCAGATGCCCACTCTCCTCTTCCCTCTTCTCAGACAGGAGATTGGGGCCAGATTCTTGTCAGACTCTTAAAATCAGAGTGCATAGGGTGCTGAAGGGCGAAATGAGCCCTACCCTTGTAATGAACAGGTAACCCCTCTGCTCAACCTCCAGCCCTTGGTGGCATCGTGTGGGAATCAAAGCCATACCGCATGCTTGGCAGTGCACAAAGCACTTCTAACTAGGCCCTTTCCATAATGGTTTTCAAATTTAAAAATCATGGAAGATCCCTTCCTCACTATTCTTAAAAACACAGTACCGCGTAACCCTTTGTTAAACAGGAGGCAGAGAAGGTGAACTCCACAATCAGGTGTTTCATGGCATCTCACCTGCGAGGTCTTCCAAGCCTTTGAGCGGGAGAGCCACCGTCTCCAGGCGCTTTCTCAGCTCATCCTTGAGGTACTGCTCCCCAATCAGAACAGACAGCTCATCACACAGAGTCTGAGCCTCCATGATCTCCTCTTCCAACTGCCCCAGGTCAGACCGAATCTCACTCGTTTCCTCCAGCTGCTGCTTCACGGCATCTGGCTGGGTGCTGACGGCAGATTGGCTGCTGAATCGCTGCCCAACTGCCTTTACCTTCTCAGACAAGTCCTGCAGCAGCTCTTGGTATTGGGTACTCTTGACAATGGCTTGGTCAATCTGACTGGAACGGGAGTTGAGTCTTTCAGTTAACTCGGTCCATTTCTGATTCACGCCTTGGAGCTCCTCCCGCACCTGGTTTGATGATGGAGAATCATCTCCAGGGCTGATTAGTATCCCCTGAGCTGCCTGGTTCAGCTGTTCCTGCTGCTGTCTGCGAGCTTCAAATTCTTTCAGCATAAACTGGAACAGAAATAACATATAAGTGTTTGTATAAGAGTGACAGCACCGAATACACATCGTCAAAACAAAACCAAGCTCCAGGAGCTTTAAACTATCCACAGAATCACTGGAAACAAACCAGGAAATCCCTGGGACAGGACTACCAGTAGACTGCAAAGATCTGTTTATGATACCATTTCAGCTTAAAAAAATTTGGAAGCATCTGTGATTACATCCATAAAGTATTTCGCTTCTCTCCCGTATTTGTCCTATTGGTGTTCAACACAATGTAAACCAGTGACACAAGGAGATAAAATATCCTGGTTAATATATTATATTTTGTGGTTTGGCTGGTTACAGACATGTCAGCAATCTGATTTGTAATGAGAGGGTAGGGAGGAGGTAGATAGGAAGGCTCTCATACAGCATTAACAGGTCCTGCATAGTATTAACATAGGTCTTTGTAGAGAGTGGAATTTTTTTTTTTTTTTAAACAAAGGAGCCAATACTGGAACCCTGTGCACAGAACAGGGATCAAAAAATCACATCAGTTTCAGTTAGGTGGAGTACTAGCCACACCCAACCTCTTCTGACATCTCTGTGAGAAGAGGTGTTAGACCAGTGCTGTTGTGCAATGTGGTGTGTGCAGGGCATTTCTGCTACAAAAGAAATGAGTTTCAGACAAGGGCTTGTCTACATGAACATTTAGCCTGCAGCAAGCTGGGGTGTAAATCTACCCCAAACTAGCCTGCCTTGCACTAAGGGTCTGTGTGGACTCCACTGATGTGGATTAGCAGTTCCTTAGCGTGCTTTGATCTCCCCAGCTTTGAAACAGGACTAGATCAAAGCACCCTAAGGAACCATTAGTGCCTGTCAGCAAGGTCCACACGGACACTTACTGCATGGTTTACAACCCAGCTTGTTTGGGCAGACAAGCCCTAAGGGAGCATGTTCTGTAGCAGGAGAGGATACACACAGACACACACACGCTCACTGTACAAACTATACACAAGTGGAGGGGAGGGATAGCTCAGTGGTTTGAACATTGGCCTGCTAAACCCAGGGCTGTGAGTTTAATCCTTGAGGGGGCCATTTAGGGATCTGGGGCAAAAACTGGGGATTGGTCCTGCTTTGAGCAGGGAGTTAGACTAGATGACCTCCTGAGGTCCCTTCCAACCCTGATATTCTATGATTCTAAGAATTTATCAATCACAACAGGAGTTTTGCACAAACTGGAACTGCCCACTCCTCATTCTTTAACCTACAAAGGAGGTACAGATACAGCCCCTTTCTCACCTGGACCTGCTGTTTTTGCGCATTCAGCATGTTAGGGTCAATGGAAAGGGGTCCCAGCACGCTCATCATTAGCTCCTTCTCCATCAGCCATGGGCGCAGCTGGGCTTCAGCTGCCTGGAAGCTTGCCAGTTGGTTCGCTGATTTCTCCAGCTTCTGCTGGCGCTCTGCTGTCACCTGATTGGCTCTTGCCCACCTGGAGTCTGAAGACAGGAAATGAAATAGCCGGTAATTTTACTGTTATTAGGAAACCTGTCCTTTGATTTAGCAGTTGTTTTTTCGTTTTCTTATGTGATATAGCAGTGTAATGCTTGATACACAATCAGTCTAGTAATAGATTTTCCATTTTTAACTACTATGGTACTGTGGTTAGGACAGGAAATGTGGAATCAGCGATCTACATCTAGCGGCAATTGTCACAGACTTGCCTGACCCTTGGGCAAGTAATTTAACTTCTCTCTGCTTCAGATTCCATCTTTCAAGCAAAAATAATATAATGTGTATCAATTTTTGTCAAGCACTTTGAGAGCTTTGGATGGAGAAACACTGTACATGCACTTTGCTTCTAGCAAGTTTTGAAATTTTCTTTTTTAAATACACAAGCTCATTTAATCATTTAAGTATCTAAAGTATTCTAAGTAATCAGACTTTTACTTTGACCAGCGAAGCTTTTACTCAAAAAAAAAAAAGCAATCAACTGATTTTATTGCAGGGTATTTTTTTAAGGTAACTTAAGAAAGCAAAGTCTCTGAAACGTAGAACCATCATGCAGACTTCATTAACTGAACAATGCTCATCCTGAAAACATCCTAGCATGCCAGACAGCTTGAAGGTATGTTCTCTATTTCCTGAATTCAATTACAAGTAACTCTGCTCTACTCTGACTTTTGGAATTGTCCTGGAAACTGGAATCATCCTTAAGGGATGTTAGAAACATCTAAAAATCACGCTACATCCCTAGGGAACTTACTGAGATCATCCAGCATCTTCTGCCAGTTTGCTGCTTCTGGAGAGTCAGGACACTTCTCCAGCAAGCCAGAAAGTGCTTCCTTTACTTTCTGGATCTTCCCTGAATTCTGTTCCAACTCAGCCAGGAATGCCTAGGAAGAAGAAAATTTTGGACATGCTAAGACATACAAGAATTCAAGCACAAGAGCTATATTGAGATGGGCTACAGTTTGAAGGAAGAAAGTAGGTACACTTGGAGTTGCGTAAGGCTTCATCTTTGGCCTTTCATGGAATCATTTCATCCAGTTACTAATACTTAGAGCTCCCTTGGGCCTTAAGAATAGAAGAAATGAAAAGTTCATCTTTCTCAATGTAACATTAAACTGTGTGTTGCTTACCCAATGAATTTGGAATGACCTGAGAATTGGTGCCAAACATTATCAGCTTTTTTCTCTGAGACAACTGCCCATAAAGGATAGGTCTAAAATATCTAAAAGGGTGAAGCTCACCACAGATTCACAGAATCACAGAAAGTAGGTCTGGAAGTGACCTCAAGAGGTCATCTAGTCCATTCCCCCCACACTGAGGCAGGATTAAGAATACTAGATCACCTCTGACAGGCGTTTGTCTCACCTGTTCTTCAAAACCTCCAATGCCTGGGATTCCACAACACCCCAGGTCACCCGTCCCAGGGCTTAGCTATCCTTATAGTTAGAATGTTCTTCTTTATATCCAACCTAAATCTTCCTTGCCACAAACTAAGGGTGTGTCTACACTTAAAATGTTACAGCGGCACAGCTGCGCCACAGTAGCACCTCAGTGTGGACACTACCCACACCGACAGAATGGATTCTCCCGTCAGCATAGGTAATCCACCTCCCTGAGAGGCAGTAGCTAGGCTGACGGAAGAATTCTTCCCTTGGCCTAGTGTTGTCTATATGGGGACGTAGGTCGGTTTTATGCCACTCAGGGGTATGGATTTTTCACAGCCCTGAGTGACTTAGCTACGCTGTCCTAATTTGCTAGAGCAGACCAGGCCTTGGTCGCTTCCTTCTTGTCCTACCCTGGGTGGACATGGAGAACAACTGAGCACAGTTCTCTTCATAACAAAACCTTGACATATCTGAAGATGTATGTTCTCCTCAGTCTTCCCTACACCGTGCTTCTTCATGCTACATTTAACCACCAAAATGAAATACGCTCTTTAGAAACAGGCTATTGTTGGTTCCTCCCAACCTAGTGCAGTAAAGCATGTCTCAGAGAATGATCTAGTCACTATGACAAACTCAGTCCTTATTCCTGCTCAGAGAGACAAGTTACCTTGTTATGCTCAGCCTGGGCTCTCATGGTCTCCGTTTTTGTAGGTGAGGAAGACGCTTCGAGTGCTGACAAGGTCCGTTCCTTTGACTCCAGCCACTTCAACACTGAACTTGCCTCCTCTTGGACTTCTAGCATCTTCTCCAGCATGGCTGACAGCTGCTCCTGGCGTTCCCGCAAGGCCATGCCAAGTCCCTCGTACTGCTGGTTCACATCAGACATGTCACACTGGATCTCAGTCAAATCTAATGACAAAGAAACAAACCTGAGCGGAAGGACGGCAACACCACTCCTACCTAGGCTGCTGGCACTGAGAATTCTGGGCAACCCTCACGCAGGCTGAGAGTGTCAGGGTACCAGAGGCTAGGATCACTGTCCTTCCATCTACTGAAGACCCAAAGATGTCAGGTTATCACCACTTGTCCTGCCAGAGGCTTGCTCTGTTGCATCACATACGAAGTTTGACAGTTTGCCCAACAAAGAAAATCACATCCCATCAAATCAGCCTCATGCATGTTGTGCTCCCATGTTAACAGTGTCATATTTAATCCACCTCTCACAGTTTGAGTTCAACTTTTTACATCTGTTATCTCACTGAACCAATGAGCTCACAGCAGCTAACAAGTCATTTAAGTAGTACTTAAAATTCCAGGGTAAGATGGTCTCAGAATCCTCAGAACTAATAATCTTCATTGCATTTCTTAAAACAATCTCCCACTTAACAGCTCTCTAACACCAGCTGATCAGGGGTCAAGTTGTTGTCAATTCTGGAAGCTGGATTCCCCTCCTGCCATTTCTGTCCTTCAGTCTGTCCTACATCCTACATCACAATCAGCTGCCCATCTCACGGCCCCATTCTGGTTACTACACAGCGCTGCAGAGAAATAGGGTTTGCTATAGGATTCCGACAATGTCACATTGCAGTGTTTATCTCCTGGGGGAACATCCATACAGACTGCTGTTATCATGCACTGATGGAAACGTAAATGAACACACAGACACCGCTTTCTATTGCAACACGGAGTTGGCGATCTCACCTTTGCAGGTGTGGTATCCATTTACGCTGCCTACTGACACTCCTAGAGCGGGCAGCACAGAACCTGAGCAAGGGACAGAGAGACAAACAAAGGACAAGACAAACATGTTAGGAATACAGACATATTACCAACAAACGTACGCACTCAGCACTGACCCAACCGTTTCCAGCTGTCCACTGTCGATGACGGACATCATGGCAAAAGAAAAAACAAATCCTGAGCATGAGCAAATTAACACAGCACAAGACAACAGAGCTCTCCACAAGACGAACCACGTCAGCCACCAAGCAAATAGATGTCATTTGGAAGTGGCTTATTCTCTTCATCCCGATAAATCCACAGACCCTCTTAATGCTTAACGCTAAGGGCTCAGCATCGGGAATTCCCCACTCCTCACATCTCAATGCCCAGCTGGGACTCCCAATCAATTTTGCTTTTCATCTGTTGATTTTACCTTACTCTCTTCTAATTCCAAGTAGCTGAAAACAGAATAGCTGTCACTCCCTGCAGCCAACATCCCCCTTTTCCATTTCCTCCAGCCACTCCTATAGGGACAGTTTAGAAGTAGCGTAGACGTTTAGGAGTAGCTGTGAAGTTCCCCAGAGCCCACAACAGTAGCCCCGCTAGTGGGCACGAAGTAGATATCAGCTCCCCACCTCACACTGCAAGCCTGTGACCACTGTATACATTTTTGCATTCAGTGGAGGCACCAGCATTCCCACAGGAGAACTAATATCCATGAGAATCATATTTAGAATACAGACTGATATTGCAGGAGCCAAAAGACCTTCATTGAAGAGATTAACTTCCTTACGTTCTTCTTTTCTTACGGGATGAAGCTCTTAAAGAAACAGACCTAAAAAAATAAGCATCTTTTCTATGCAACTGGGCCCTGAAAATTATTCCTCAGAAAATCCTTCTCTTGGACTTCATTTTGGGATGATCCCAAGTCAATCCACATTCAAACCCGAATGCCCTGGAGATGTTATAGATCAGGCTTCTCATTTTCTAAGCAGCCAGAAACAGTCAGCATTAATCATTATAATGTCCATTTATATAGGAGATTGCAACGTAAAAACCTCTCAAAACTTTCACCGGGTATGTACAAGGGACTGCTCTCCTATTGCTTACATTCAGCTACCCCTCAGGAGGAACGCAGTAGCTATTCTGTGTCAGCAACACTCTACAACATGTCTGGGGATGCAAAGCAAAGGTTAATTTCTCCAGATGAAACGCCCATCAAGGTGTTAGGTAATTACCAATTTAGAAGTTAGCCGGCAATTGGAGTTAAGTCCCCTAACTCTTGCCCTGGGTTCTTAAATGGTCAGAAAAGCAGTCAACACATCCAATGTACATCGTATCTGAAAGCGAGCATCCTCCAGTGTTATCCTAGCACCATGTTGATGAACTGATTCAGTACCGATTCTTGGGCTAGGTCTACTCTATGAGCGAGGGGTGTATCAAACTAGTGCGAGTATAAATAGCAACACAGCGGCGGTAGCGGGCTAGCGGCAGTGGACAAACGGCCGAGCCATGCAGAGCATCAGCCCGCGTGAAACAGTGGGTATGTACTCGGCACAGCTGAGCCGGAGCTCCATGCTCACGGCCTGTGTTACTGCAGCTGCCCTGCTATTTAGACTCAATGAGAGCTAACGTAGGAGCAGGGGAATCACACCCCTAGCTCACAGTGTAGATGTAAAAAGAAAAGGAGTACTTGTGGCACCTTAGAGACTAACCAATTTATTTGAGCATGAGCTTGCCTTAGAGCGCCACCTACAGAAGCATCAGGACTATAGCCTGTAGCCTTTTCCTAGATGTTCCTTGGAGGTTTCCCATCCAAACGCTAACCAGGCTAACCCTGCTTAGTTTAGGGGCTGCGATCATACGTGGGTGGTGGTTACGAAATGTTAAAAGCATTTCCTCAACAGGAGTCCATACTCACAAGTTGGAAAACAGCAGTTTGGTATCTATGTTCATTCCCATATAAGACAGACAAACAGACAATCTCTCCAGAGGCTGAGCCCTCAGCCCCTAAATGCCTTGGAGCAAGGCTAAGGTACACAGACTATTGCTGGCTCCTTTCCTTTTGTTTTGTAACAAGTTTAAAGCCATTTTCTATTTGATGATGGTTTAAATAAAAATATACCTAAAGAACAACAAAAGCAAACAATAGTGCAGAAAATGACAGGGCTCCTCCTCCAAGGACACTCCAGGTGTCCTCTGGGCGGCACGGTTGTAACTCACCTGTCTTTGACTGAGCATCAGGGGCTGTGATTTCTACAATCAAATTCTCTAATGCAGTCCCTTTGTGATTGATTTCCTCCACCTGGGCCCCCTTTCCTGTCCATTCTTCCAGGAGGACCTATTAAAAAACCAGGATCAGATACCAGCATCCTACATTATATATTTCCCACGCCAGAGGGCCTATGATTGAAACAAACACATTCTGCAGCTGAGAACGACAGGTGTGTGTTTGTTGTCTAGGCACTGTGAGTACTCCTCTAATACGCATGTAGGATCCAGCTTTAGCATGCTCAGCTGTCTAATTCACAGGATGGCTCACTGACTCCCACAGAATTAACTGAATTACTGTTAAACAGCAGATTAAGAGCGTACCTCTATATTATGTCAAAGAGGGCAGTTTCTTTATAATGAATCAGCTATAGAGCATCAAGCAGCAAATTAATAACTAGTGGGTCTCTCTTCAAACTAGGGTTCTGAGGACCCTCCTTCCTAGCCTATACACCTAGCCCCCTACGGTATCCAGCATGCTAAACTCGCCACGTGGACCTTGTATAAATCAGTAGCTCAGAGAGCTCCTATATTTCTGTCTGAGATAAGACAGCTACAGGTGAGCAAACAGGATGTTGCACTCTCTCTTAAATCACAGCCCTTGACATATCTTGATTTAAGGTGTCATTTACCCTAGAGAAGAAATAGAGCGCCCAAGTGACCGGATGTAACCCCTGATGTCCAGCAGAGGGAATTTCACTGAAGATACAGACTAGCACACAGGGGTTCCTCCTCCCAAATTCCTCTGAAAAGCAGAGGAGCGGTCGGATTTCTTTTAAAAATTAATAAAAGACTCTGCATAGATTTCACTGTGCATTGAAAGTGTGAGCGGCTATAGCGAACAGTGATGTGTATGATTGCGAGCACTGTCTCTCGACAGTCCCACACAGACAGGGGCTTCAGACCATCAGTGGTGCTGTTTTCAGAGCAAGTAAAGGCTCACTTATGAGAATCCATTGCACGGACATACAGCACCGCACTCCTGCACTTAAGCACATGGAAGCCCAGGCGTAGCTGGATTAATACAAGCATAAAACAGTTCACAGTATACCATGTCCTGCAAGTCATTACATGCTCCTTTGGTTTCCACACCAACTCCTCAGAGCGTTTCCGCTTTCCCTGCCCACCTTGATTTGCTGCATGCGCTTCTCCAGTTCCTGGGTGCCCAGGGAGGTCTCTGCAGATGGCACATTCCCTTCGCTTTCTTTCAGCCACTTCTTGATAGCTCCAACCAACTTTCGGAACTCGTCCAATTGTTCCTGGCAAGATGATGCATCCTTTTCTCTACGAGTGACAAGGTGGAGAGAGTTAGCAGCTCGTGCTTCGCTTTGCAATTACCATACCCTGAATTGAGCACACCATGGTCTCTGTGATCTTGTGGGGTTTTGTTGTTGTTGCTTAGCAACAGCACTCACTAGTGGCCAAAACTGTGGCTATAGCTATGGTAAAGCGTGCTCAGTGAATGACCTTGGTGCACAAGTTCAGTGTTATCTTGACCCCTAGAAACCCAGACTCACATTCTTGGCAAAGTCCAGGTTAGCAGTTCTGAAACCATGATCCACACAGAGCACTTGTTAGTGGCCTGTAGCGAGCTGGCAGGTCACATGGTGAGTGGAGTCACTTCCTTGCTATTAACTACTTGGACAAGGGTTCAGGCTCATCATTGGAAAGAAGAGCCTGGATGTTTGTAAAAACAGCTGGAAAAAAGGAGGAAGAGTTTGCCTGTCTACTTCTACCAGCAGCCACCACTCCATAAGAGAATAAGGAGCAACACTCAACGACAGAGATACTAAGGAACAGCTACAAATAATCAAACACTTTGTGACACAAAGGCACCTTGGCAATGGGTGCACAGGTCTTTGAAACCACTCTCATCTCAGACCTGACAAACTCACTACATCAAATACATTGTTCACAGGGTATCTATGCATACTGGGTACCATGTAAGGTCTTTATTGAAAGCTTGCAATTTATCAGCACTCATAATCATGGTGTGATGTGCGTACAGGTAACACTGAAGGAATAAGGTAGATATATTGATGTTTATTCCCTTAGGGTCTTAAAGTTAAGGGGAGTCACCAGGGATTAACTACCTGGTGGCAGTTTATTCATGCAGGAGGGAGTTGCTCTCTCTCCTTAGTTAGCCAGGGATGTCATGCAAGGTTCAATTGTCTCTCACTGCCCCATCACAGAACAATCAATGGAAAACCAAGGAAGACAAGTGCAAACAATTGAAACCACTTGGAGGTAAAAACAAGAACATTACAACAGGCAGGATATTGCCCTATGAATAGAGACAACAGACTTTCAGTATAAACACAGGTTTCAGAGTAAGGGGCAAGAGGCCTCTGCATCCATTCACTCAGGAGACATCTTGTGGAGCAGGGGTATTTTCATGACAGTTTGGATCCTGGTTTCTGTGAAGCCAGCCGTCTCTGCAACAGACTGAAATTTTTTTGAGGGTGGAAAACTATTTTATTAGATAGGAAAAGGAACTATTAATAAGCGTAGGCCCTAGTTCAGGTTTTATGATTTTGTTTGCATCATTTGTTTTCACCGCACTCCCTTGTTTCTAGCTGAATCTCTATCCTTTCTTAAATAAACCTACTTCTTTCTTAATGTCAGCGCTCACAAGTGCTGTGCGATATACAGGAGTGGTGGTTTAAGGTAAAACTAGCAAACTGGAGTACCCGGCTCCTTTGGGGGCAGAGGCTCGGGGATTATTGTGAGTAGCCAGTGTCGGGGCTGAGAGTCACAGAGGAATAGTTCAAAGGGACTCAAGGGGCACCTCTTGGTAAGCAGCAAGGCAAAGACAGGGAGCTAACAGCCAGCTTACTACAGCCAAGTCTACCTCTCACTACAGCCGGAGGGTAACAAGGTGACCCTCAGTCCTGGGTATCCCGAGACCTGGGTACCACATGCTTCCTTTAATATTTCTCTTCCACAATTGTGTCGTCACCATTGGCATGTTGCATGCTAATCAGAGAATCACAGAATATCAGGGTTGGAAGGGATCTCAGGAGATCATCTAGTCCAGTCCCTTGCTCAAAGCAGGACCAATCCCCAACTAAATCAAACGTCAAGAGCAATAGGAATGAGCTCCACATGAATGAGCTTCAATGGAAGGGCAGATAATATCTGTGGTTAAATATGCCACATGATCACGAGTGGAAGAGGAGGCTGAGGAGAGAGACACTATTAATCTGTGGCCCACCCCATGACAATCCCTGGCATGGGGAAGTAGAGCTGTCAGGAAAGTGGAGCTCATTCATATTGCTCGACTTTGTGACAACCACTTCTTGCCCCACTCCTCCAAGAGACGCTCGCATTCAGGGAAAGCAGGGAAGCACGGCAGGCCAAGGGTACGTCTACATGGCAATCACGGGGCGTAACTAGCTCATACAGACAGACCTGAACTAGGTTGGATACTAGAGCGGTGAAGTCACGGCAGCATGGGCCGTACAAGCCCACTTGGAACCCTGGGTAATTATTCGGGCAGCTAGCCCGCACTGCTGCGGCTTCACTGCTCCAGTTCTCGAGCTAGTGACGTTCCAGCTAGCTCCGGTACGTTTACACAAGTGCCATCAGATTCCCCACGGCTGCAGCGAAGACAGACCTTTCCCTTGCCTCCCCACGTCACCAGCGGGATTTCTGTGGGAGGCGGTTACAACAGCACGCCCTTGCAGTGGCTCCCGTATGTGCGGTGCTGCGTAACCCATGAAATTCGTTGCCTTCTTCGCTGCCCTTACGGCAGTTCCGAAATCACTGTGGAATTTGAAGACAGGAGACTTCCTCACCCTTCGGAACGCAGCTGAGGTTCCTGGGCGTGCTGCTATTCGGTCAGGCATCTGAACGGAAGGGATGCCGAGCTCTGGCAGAGGCTTACAACATCACGTAGCAGTTTATTCCCCCCATCTCGTCGCTCTCCATCGCGAACGAGGTCTCGTGAACCCTCTTTAACTTAACCCTGTTTTAATGCCGCCCGTTCTCTGTAGACAGACCCTGCACCGTGGCAACCCCCTTGAGCTAGGGAAAACGAAGAGGCTCCTTCTGCAGCTATTGTCTGTCACGCCTTCGCTGGCCAATGAACCTCTGCCACACAATGCCATGCAATACAGTGATCCGCTCCTGGGGGGAGCAGGAGTGGGTTTGATTCGTGGCAGCCCCTGCATGCTGAGAAAGCACGGCTCTTGCAGCACACACATTTTCACAACGCCTCCAGCCGTCCTTTTTTAAAATGTCAGTGAGAGATGACGGCATTAAGTTTTGCAGCGTAGGAGGACAGCAGAGGTAGAAGTTAACGTACGGTCCCCAAAGCAAAAATGAACCTTAGTCAGCTCTCTCCCAATTGCTAAGTAACTTCCACCATCAGTGAGAAGCACATCCGCCAATTTTTAAGAGCTGTCTCCACAATCCAGCCCCTGAAGGATGGGAACAGGTGATCTCAGGTCTTACCTCTCCTTTGCTGCCTTCTGCAGCTGCACAAAATCCTGTTTTAGACTGTGCACCTTCGCTTGGTGCTGAGAGGAGCCCACTGGGAAACCAAAGGAGCTCAGCTCTGTGGTCAGACCCTCTATAGTATCCAGGTCCTCTTGGTGCTGCCTCATTTCTAAATTCAGCTCCTGTCAGGATAAACAAGAGCGGGGATGAAGCTCCTGTGTTTGTTCAAACAGGAGAAATGAACAGACACAGCCCTTGATACTGACTAGGGCACATAGTGCCCTCTACAGGGAAATAAGATGAATTATCCATAAATCAGCATGAAATACTCACCAGCAACTACACACCACACCACAGAAACACTAACCCAGGAACCAATCCCTTTAGCAAACCTTGTTGCCTACTCTGTCCCCATATCTACTCTAGAGACACCATCAGAGGACCCAACCACATCAGCCACACCATCAGAGGCTCATTCACCTGCACGTCTACTAATGTGATATATGCCATCATGTGCCAGCAATGCCCCTCTGCCATGTACATTGGCCAAACCGGACAGTCCCTACATAAAAGAATAATAATGGACACAAATCGGACATCAGGAACGGTAACATACAAAAGCCAGTGAGAGAACACTTCAATCTCCCTGGACATTCTATAACAGATTTGAAAGTAGCCATACTTGAACAAAAAAACCTCAGAAACAGACTTCAGAGAGAAACAGCAGAACTAAAATTCATTTGCAGATTTAACACCATTAATTTGGGCTTGAATAGGGACTGGAAGAGGCTGGCTCATTACAAAAACAGCTTTGCCTCTCCTGGAATTGAACCTCCTCCTCTATTATTGGGAGTGGACTACATCCACCCTGATCGAATTGGCCCTGTTAACACTGGTTCTCCACTTGTGAGGTAACTCCCTTCTCTTCATGTGTCAGTGTATTTATGTCTGCGTCTGTAATTTTCTCTCCGTGCATCTGCAGAAGTGGGGTTTTTACCTATGAAAGCTTATGCTCAAATAAATCTGTTAGTCTTTAAGGTGCCACCGGAGTCCTTGTCGTTTTTGTGGATACAGACTACCATAGCTACCCCCGATACTTGTCACCATGAATCAGAGCAACTTCTGAAACTCCTGCACATCAGAATTGGTAGAAGGGCTACAGGGAGAATCTAGGGCAGATACTGTTCCCAGCTAGCAGGAACCATGGTCTCCATGAAACCACTATGATTTTGTCCCATTCAGTGCAATGGACCCAGTCCTATACCCTAAACCACTGTCCTAGGGTAGCGATTCTACTTACTGACGCGTAGGCATTGTGCAGTATTAACAGATGGGATTTTTAGCCAGTGAGGTCTAGCTATATTTGCCCTGGGTCTAATCCAACTGTTCAGAGTTCACTCCTTTAGTTCTCTGCCCCCAGCCAGCTGGACTGGGCAGAATTGTCTTTCTAGTCTAGAACTGCTCCTAGACTGTTCACGCAGGGCAGTGAAACAGCAATGAGCTACAAAGCCCCCATCTCGTTCCCTTTCTCCAATGGCTGAGCAAATAGCTACTGTAACTGCAGGTCCCAATGGCCTGGGATGAATGCAGGGGGTTATTTACTCTGCACAAATCCCTCCACTCTGCCTGCAAAGGGCTCCTCACAAAAGCCTCATAGTCTGGGCCTCCTTTCTTCTTTAGGCACAAAACCCGCTTCTCACCTGGATCTGCTGGGAGAAGTGAGCGATGTCACGATCCGGCTGGTTTCCGGAAGCCAGCATGCGAGCTCTGCTCTCTGTGAACTGCTGCAGCTTCTCGGAGAGGTGCTCGTACTGTTCCACCTTCGGGAGGAGGCCCTTCAGCACGTTCTCCTTCTCCTGCTGCTGCCGGCACAGCTTGTTGAAATGCTCAGTCACCTCGGCCAACTTGCCCTGCAGGGCTGAGGCTGCGGAGCTGCTGGCCGTTTCCATGAATCGAGTCACCATTTCTCGGGTGGCTTCTAGGCTGCTCTTCTGCCGGGCGATGTCCTGCTTCAACTTCTGTTGTCAGAATAGACACCGAGAAAACCAAAGTGGCATGAGTTGGCCGGGGGGCCCTTTGGAACTAGAAATCTTAAAGCAAATGACATTTCTAGACAACATTCACGTGCATTATTTTCACCCCCAGTCCTCCCTGTGCCCTCCTTCCCCACTGTGTCTGACTTTGGCTTTTCCCTGCCTCTGCTCATGCTGAACTGTCAGTCTATCCTCATCCACTGCTTCTGGACAGGGATTTCCTCTCAAGCCAATGTGAACGTCTCTAAACGCTGCTCATTAGTTGAGGAGGGAGGTAAACTGTTTCGGTGGCTCTATTTCCTAGTTCAGCGAATTCAGGTAAAGGATGGATTTAACGCTTCCTTTTTAAATGGGTTTAAATGACTTGAACATTTAAATGACTTGAACATGACTTTAAATGACTTGAACATGCAATACAATTAAAGCACAGAATGTTTTAAGATGTCTGCCCCATTCAGAGGTTGGCGAGAGGCAGAGGAACCGTCTACCTAATGCAGGCTCTTTCTGAAAGGCAGTTAAGTGAACATCTCACAGCGTTTGTGGCGAGTGACTCCTGGATGGAGAGAGACGAGAGGGAAGCCAGCTGCTCTCCTTCCAGGCTCTTCTCAATCTCAGCCATCGACTGCACAAGAGTCTCCAGTCCTTCTTGAACGCTCTGGGACTGGGCGATGGACTTCTGCAGCAGATCCGAGCGCTCTGCCATCTGACCAGAAAGGCTCTGAAAACGGCTCACGATGGAATCTGGGGAATTCAGCACAGGATAAAAATAAATGACCAAGAGGGGCGAGTGATTGTCACCTCTGAGTTTATCCCCAACACAAATAACTAGCCAAATCACCCGGAGGAGCCGGAGCTGCGAAGGTTCAATTACTGAACTCGTTAGAGAGAACAGGAAAAACCTCACTGGGTGAACAAAAGAGAGAGCAGCAGCGTAGGAACTGACCCACGGTCCATCTATCCCAGTGTCCTGTCTGCGACAGCGGCCCACACCAGATACTACACAGGAAGGTGTAGGAACCCTGCAGTAGCAGAGGTGGGGTAACCTGCTCCCACTCTAGAGGTAAGGCACGTGGGTATAGGTTAACCAGAAACATACACAAAAGCACAGAAACAGGACTATGATAAGACCATTTCAGTGGGGTCTATTGTATTGTCTCGACTTTAAAACCAACAGGTCTCTTTCACTACTTGAGGCAGAAGCTGCCTGTTGCTCAAGACGTCCCTCCCTCCCCTCCCTTGTTTTCTCAACATAAAGAGAAGTGTGGATCCTCCGAAGGAAACAAACAGCCTCCGGAGGTGTTTTGGGAAGGTGGTGAACTGCCCTATTGGTGCGTATGTGTGCGCACACAGGGACTGTAGACAAGTTGCTCTTCTACTTTGATCCCGTGTTCTTCTGAACTCATCTGACTTGGGGGCTTGAGTTCCCTTTTTAACTGTGGTCTGTCTTCACACTCGCACATGCTAATGGACACGGCTGCTTTGCCCAGTACCTGTGGTTTCCTGAATGCGTCTGCGATCAGGGGCTGGCTCTCCTTCTATCTCCAGGAGGGAACGTGCTGCTTTCTGCAGCTTCTCCACGGGCACCTGATGCTCAGCAAGATCTCCCTGTAGTTGCTGCTCCAACACAAGACAAGACCACTAACGTCAGCAATAACATACACCAAAGAGACTGCGACACACTGGTGAACTGGTCTAGTAGGTTCCATCCTTAATTTAACAGTCCCCCAGGTAACCCATATAACAGGAGATTGAAATCAGGATTTTAGGGTGAGATGTCTGGCCCACGAGGGTCGTACACTCAGCCTGGAGAAAGACAGTCTAAAGATCCCTTACCTTGGCATTGGTGAGCTGCTTCTGCAGAACCGCTGGGTCCGAGGAAACTGTCTCAGAGAGGACTTTTGCTACGGCTGCTTCACTCTCCTGCAGCCACGTCCTGAGAGTTTCTGCCACTTCCTGGAATTGCTGGTAGCGATCCAGCAAGGTGTTCAGATGGGAACCAAGCTTGGCACACTACACAGGAAAATAAAATCCGAGACAGGGATATGAACCATCACGGTCCGCAGCCTGCTCTTCCATGCCCCCTTAATTTGAAGAAAGGGGGGAAAACTCACCGAGGGCTTGTCTACACCGCAGGTTAGCGTGTGGCAAGCAGAGGTGTGAATGTACAGAGCACTAGCCTGCCAGACACAAAGTCGCTACGTGGATGCTACCAGTGAAGGTTCCAGTTTCGAAGGGGAATATGTCAAAGTGCACTAGAGAATTGTCAGCGCATTACAGCGAGTTAGCGCACAGCAAGCTAGGGTGCTGTAAATTCACACCCTGGCCTGCCACGCACCAACTTACCATTGAGCCAAGCCCTGAGGAAGACCTCAGTTTTAGCATGGGTGGAAGAACCATATAACACAGTCCCTGCCCTCTTCTGAGCTCACACCTTTAAAATGTTTGAACAGTATAAGTGTTCCTGATGTAGGAAGGTGGAGAACGGTCAGAGAGAAGGTAACAGGGCAGATTTGACAGGTAAATTCCCAGTTACATGCAGTACCGGCTACCACCATCCCTACAGCCCTGCACAGAGGAAACTCCATAAAAGCTTTATCCTATGGAGCTGGAAAGGGTTTCCTGTACCTTTGAGTGGAGAGCAGTGTATCTTTTTGTTGCATCATCCAGTTTGCTCTTGACTAAGTTTCCTGTGGCTAATGGCTCAGGCCCATCTTCCTTGGCTGCACTCTCTGCGTCCAGCACCTTCTGTCCTGACATGGTAACAAACCGCAAATCCCCCTTGTGGGAGATCACATCTTCCGAGAAGCTTCCCTGCCGGAGAAGCATTGGTCTCAGCGATTCAGGGTCGCTGTCCGCCTTGTGCATCCGCTCCAGCTCCTTTTCCGCCTGCTCTAGCCAGGCCTCAAACTCCCCGTGATCCCGCATAAATTTCTGCAGCTCGTCCCGCAGCACCTGCACTTGCTTCAGCTGCTTCTCCGACTGCGACAGGTTGGCTGCGTATTGCTCCTTCAGCTCTGCCAGCCTCCCCTGAAGCCTCTGCCTCTCCTCCGGTGCTAGGTTGTGGCCCTGTTTGTCCAGGAAGGCCTGTGCTGTTTGTGTAGCTAGAATGACATCTTGCTGCTGGGAGAGCAGCTCCTGATGGCGTGCCTGAAACACACACACACCAAACATGCTGCCTTGTGACCGATCTAATGTCTCTAAGGACTTATCTACCTGGGGGAAAAGCCCTCAGTAGCTGGTGTGCACTAGCGACTCCGCACTAACTCCCAGTGCGGACACTGGTCTGCGCACTGAGAACCCCTCTGTGCTCGCTGTTGTGTGCGTGTCAGCCCCAGGATACTGGAGAGACACGGTGGGTGAGGGAATACCTTTTACTGGACTCGCGCTCGTCTCTCTCCCCAACAGAAGTCGGTCCAATAAAAGAGATTACTCGCCCACCTTGTCTGTGTGTGCATGAGCTTTATGCACTTTGGAAGCGTGCTAAGCTAAACTGCCTGGAGGCATTCACAGTGCGCAGTAAGAGTGTTCACATGGGGAGTGGGTGTGGAGTCAGGAGTGCGCTTTACATTTACTCCTAGCCCACTGTGCATGAACTTCCCCATGCAGACAAGCCCTCAGCACCAGAACTACTGACAGACCTCTCTTCACTGTGCTGGCAAACAACTAACCCCTCCCCTGCGAGTTACCCTGACAGCATCATCTTGCGACCTGACTGTAAAGTACTCTGCATTACTCATCACACCGCTAATAAATTACAGCTGAGGCAGACAAAAAACCATGTCTCTCCACTTTCACAACTCTATGTCCTTCTGTCTGCTGTGCCAGGAGGATCCCACAAGTTCAGGGGTCTCCCCTTCTAGCGCACCAGAGCCTTGATGCCCGGTTACACCGGAACACAACTGCGTAGCATGGCGAACACATCCATGCATTCAACGCCACTTGCTGGTGGCAGGGTCGTCACCGTGCTTGGCAGCACTAAGATCTAACGTAATATCAGCCAGGTAGGTCGGACATGGCGGCATTCTAACCTTCAGCCTCTCATACTGCCCATCAAGGCTCTCTTCCACTCGGTCCACTTCCACCAAGTGACCGTCGAGGATGTCCTGGGTGCTTTTCCCCTGGACTGCTCCCAGAGCTTGTTCCATTGGGCGAGGTTTGTGCTCAGAGAGCTCCCCCGTCTGTTCTAATGATGTCACCCACTTTAGAAGCGACTCAATCTTACTCCTGTTCTCCTCCAATTCTTTGGCAGCTTTCACCTGAAAAAACAACAAATATTCCGGATGAGGAGGGCTGTTCTTTTTGTATTTGTATAAGCTGCTGTATCAGGAGAGGGAGAATCCTGGCATCTGACTGATTTTGTGATTCTCAGCCCAGCACAACACATAGTCCACAGTCTTACTCAGCCAACACACGCCCCAAACTGGGCTTCTGATACAGAGTGAGTGAGTGAGTGCACGAGCAGTGTGCGCACACGGGTGCACACATCCAAGTGGTTCCTTGAGGTACACCCCTGGGGCTTATCTGGGGAGGTTGAGACACTGTTAGATTTTCAGAGGCGCCAAATTACTTCAAAAAGCTGCACTGGAAGTTTATTACCAAGTCCTGACATCAGAGCAAAGCTCCTTTACTCTGCCCTGGGCTGCTTTACATTCCAACGAATATTGTATTAGTATTATAAATACCTAGCATGTCTAATCCATAGCTCTCAAAGTGCTTTACAAGGGGAGTCAATACCAACGTTTTACAGATGGGGAAACCGAGGCACAGAGTGGAGACACGGTGGAGACAAGGTCACCAAGCAAAAACAGTTGCAGAGCCAGGAACAGAATTTCTCAACTCAACAGGTTTCTCAACTCCCCGGCCAGTGGCATACCCACTAGGCCAAGCTGCCTCCCCACATTAAAAGTCCCCCCTCCTTTTGTTCTTTGTGTGTTACCTTTTCCGTCTCCTGTTGCATTGCAGCCGTCACTGTGCTCTCCAGTTCTTTCTGGGCCACTTCAGTCCTCTCCTGCAGAGACTGGAACTGCTCCTTGGCGAGGCGGAGTTTCTCTTGCAGGGCTGCCAGCTCCCCGGGGTTCATCTTGGCCCTGTTCTCCTCTAAGAACTCTTCGGTTGCTTTCAAGACACCCACGAAAGAGGCAGCCCGGCTCTGAATGTTCCTCTGCAGGTCCTAAGAGCATTGTGGAAGAATCATACAACTTTTCTGTGCCATCTGACATCTCTTTTGCCCCCTTCTTGCCCCCCACAACTATTCTAGCACTGACCTTAACGTCACTTTGCCTTTGCTGCAGCATAGGTAGGTCCCCTTCATTGGCTGCTCTCTGCTGGTCCCTCAGTGTGTTCTCCGCCTGGCCCAGCCAGGCGTGGAGCTCCTCCAGCTTCCGACTGCGCATTGCTTGCTGCTCCTGGAGAGTCTGTATTGAGGGGAAGAGAAGAGAGGAGGCCGTTTAAGACACATCGTTCATTCAATGCCACCATGTCTCTGAAAAGCAAGGCAGAAGAGTTACAGTCTGAGCACCTGATAGGATAGGAGGCAGCACAGAAAACACCTTTTGAAGCCCTCTGCTCTCAGCCAGGCTGCATGAACGTGTATCAGAGCCCAACAGTATTTGAAGGACGGGATCTCTTTAAATACACGTTTTTTTGTCATTCAAGCTGTCTTCTCTCCTTAGATGGGAGACCATTCCACAAATGTTTAATAATTTCATAGGGGCAACAATCAAAGCACAGCCCTCCTTGGTACAATTAACCAAATGTTGCTCTGGCTTTGTCCTTCCTCTCAACCTCAAGAAATTTAAAATATACCAGAAACCCATGTAATGCCATCTCTAGACAGGCTGGCCACGCGTAACGCACTGGCATCATGCAGGGCTGCGGCTTTGGAACATTGGCTGACCCGAGTCAGGTTTATTTTCACACCAGGGTTGGCGTGAGAGCCCAGGGAGACAAAATGTTTCTGTAGCTGATCCAATTCCTAGGTTTTGCCACTACCGCACAATACAGAAGCGCCTGTTTGAGCAATTGAGCATGATGTGTGACCCTGACAGTCCTCACAAAAAACTTCTCTTTGCTAGCAGGGAAAAAACGGTTTCTTCTGGTGCCGTAGCAACTAAACATACAAACTTGTGCAAAATGCTGTGGTCATTTCTTTCAATCTTTAAGATAAACAACAGAAGCAATTCAAAAGAGCGCTCTTAAGAGCTCTTCGGCTGCAAAGCGAGATCTTCCTGGGTTAGGATGGGTGCACACTGAATCTGAAAAAGCAAAGCAAACTGGTTAATACACACACAGAGATGGCATAGGCAGAGTGTTATTGAGAGCAACTGTTAATAAAAACATTACAGTATTAATAGTGTCTGGAGTGAAAAGGTCCATGCAATTATGTGGGCTGCGGGAACACAGCAGAGTATCAGGAGCTTGTGTGGGCGGCTGCTGTGTGACACGACATTTAGATATTATTCAAAGGGCTGTTCTCATGTGTCTACAGACCATTAACTGTGCAAGGAAAATGAGAAACTAGCAACACTGGTTATCATTCGGGTTGAACAATGCCAGTTTGTGCCATCATTTTCTGGTGTGGACCTTACAGGAACTAGGTTGAGTCCACTAAACCAATGCACATATGATCTCAGCTAGACTCAGGCAGGTTTCCAGAGCCGAAAGCCAAAGGGACTGACCAGCTGTCCCATCTAGAGCCCTCAAGAGCTTGGTTAGTTTGAATAAGGGAAGGCAAAGAAACTCAGTCCCTTGAAAGATGGGATGGGTAGGGTAATAGAAAGGAGCAATCGACTCTTTTCAAGAAACTCCTGCTGTGCCATGAATCATTTCAAAGTCACACACCCAAAACCGGAACACAGAACGGCAAGTGTTTCACGGCATGTCCTTGAAAACATCTCAGTTAACAAAACACAACAGGCCTCACGACCTTCACCTCATCAGTCTGCTCCACTTGCCGGAGACAGACCTGCAGGACCTCCACCTGAGCTGCCACACGCTCGGAAAGGTCCCGGAAAGACTTCTGCAGTTCATTGAGCAGTCTCAGCAGCTGCCTGCTCTGTTGCGGGGTCAAGTCCTGGGCGTGCTCAGAGATAAAGAACTGAATGTCGAAAGCAGTTGCATCGAGCTCAGACTTGGTGTGAGCAAGGGGATGTTTCAACTCCTGAACAGAAGAGAGAAAAAGCTAGTCAGTGAAGTGAGTCTGGTTTGTGTGCACTTTCCTAAGCTGCTGTTTTTGGACATGATCCATGGGCAAAGAGAATCCTACGGCACAGAAGCAGAGAGATTTCAGCCAGATCTTCATCGAGAGAACAAGATATTTCAGGCACCCAGCGATACACGAAGAGCTTGTCTAAGTGAACACTTAGTTCGCGGCAAGCTGGGTTGTAAAACTACCCCGCACTAGCCTGCTGCAAACTAAGTGTCCAAGTGAAGCCACCTGCCAAGCACTAGAAGTTCTGTAGTGTACTTTAATCTACTCCTGTTCCAAAGCAGCTTAGATCAAAGCACCCGGACAATTTTTAGCACGCGGCAGGAGGGTCCGCACACACACTTTGTAAGCGGCAGGCTAGTGCGACGTAGATGCATACCCCAGCTTCCCACCAAGTAAGTGTTTGTACAGAGAAGCCCTAACAGAAGCGCGTACAGCAGCACACGAGTAAGACGATGTGTGGAAAGCAGCGGTTTCCCAAGTCTCCTCCTTTCTCTTTATACCAGACCTCCCAACACCTTTGGAAAAAACCCCTCCTGTCATTGGCATCCGAGTCAGAGCCAGTTTCTCGATGCGTGTGCGGTGCAGCGCTGGAGATGTACCCAGATTCAGAAGCGACTGTTTATACTCTATATGCCAATCGCCCTCCAGCTTCCTCACTCTGCAGATCGTGGTGTAGCAGCAAAAACCACTCCTGGAGCTACCTCTTCTTCCAACACCTTAGCCCCCTGCCCCGCACTGCTTGGGTCTCAAAAGCATAGCTCTGTGAGCCATGAGGACAGCTTCCACTGACCAGTGTGAGCGCCACTCCCAAGAGTGTGGGGCACTCAGTAAAGGCTCCAGGTCGTGCTCTGGAGGAGATTGTGACTTTTTTTTTTATTTATTTCCCTATGTTCTTTGAAGGGCTGAGCAGCAATAGGATGTTTTACTTGTTGCTGAGACAAAACAGGAGAAAAAAAAAACCCTTGGCTCCTTTCACCTCTGCATGGCATCATTACTCATGCTCCCAAGAGCACAAGGACTGAAAAACAGGCTAGAATACTGGCATCTCCTTGCACAATAATCGACAAAGGGAAAGCCACAAAGAATCAAGGAGGAAGGCTGGATTAAAAGCAACCCCTGGAGGAGGCCACAGTTTGATCAGTCAGGATTAGGGCTGTTGCTATGGCTACCTTATAGTGTTGCAGGCAGCAAGTCAAGCTGTTCCCTTCAGTTGCATGGTGGTAATCACTGCTGTCCAGAGATAATGCGGTATCGCAGACCCAGTTCTGCAGCTCTTCCAGTTTGCCCTCAAGCGTCTTATGCCGTGTTAAGACTTTAGCCTGAAAATGAAAAGTACTCTAATTAAAACCAGGCAACTAACGAAGGAATGAATGCAGAGATCTCTCAGTATAGGGTTGAAGCAGCAAAGGGAGGACAAAAGTCTGTTTGTGAGTTGTACCTTTTCAGTTTCTGCAGCACCACGCAGGTTTAGCAGCCAGGCCTCCAAGGCATCGCTCACTGAGCTAAAAGACTTCTGGAGGTTCTTGGCATCTTTCTCCAAGGCTTTCAGCAATTGTTCAGGGACTTCTTGGGGCTGGTTGGCCACAATCCACTTCACAGAGTCCAGCTCTTGATTCACTGGAGAGGACAGATCCTTCAGTTCCACATCCAGGACCTGAGGCAAGACAGTATCTTTAAGTCCAAGACACAATGATTTCATACGCTCACTGCCAGCATTCACAGGGTACGCCTACACTGCAAAAAAAAAAAAAAAGCCAATTCTTGGCACTGAGTCTCAGACCCTGGGTCAACTGACTCACGCAGCATAGCAGTGTAGTCATTGGGCTTAGGCTGAGTGAGGGGGAGGGTCTCAGAGCCCAGCCCTTGTCCTAGCCCGAATGTCTACACTATCTGAGTCAACTGACCCGGGCTTTGGGACTCTATACCACGGGTTTTTTCTTTGCGGTGTAGACATAGCCACAGTAAAACAAAGGCTGGAAGAAACTGGATTCAAACAATCTGTGTATCTGCTACAATGATTCATTACCATCCACCAATTCATCCCACTATTCTCATCTGGCCAGGTTACAGTAATTCATTCCAGACAGCAAACCTAACTGTGAATTAAATGAATTTATTGTCTAAACATGGACGAAGACCTGAGCCAGAAAGAAAGATATCTTTTAGATCCCAGACTAAAGTTCCTCATCGTGCTCACAAGAGACAGTTAGCAGCTGCTAAAGCCCAGTGAGCCCGTGCATAAACCGCCCTAAAAGAACTAACCCAGAGAGAAGAGCACTGGAACTGGACTAATTTTAGTACAGTGCCCCACCCTGACCTCAGCCTGATGCAGCAGGTCTTGCAGCGCTTCTAAATTCAGCTCCGCCGGTTGAACCTGTTTAATTTTCATCTCAATATCTCGGAGCATGGACAGATAAGACACCAGCTTCTCATCATGTTCCAGACAAAGCTGCTTGCTGAACACAGTCTGCGGAGTCAAAAGACAAAACATACTTCAGATTTTGAGAGAAAAGTAAATCAGAATGAGATTATTTTAAAGAACTCTTAGCATTCTCTCTCTCAGCAATTTTCCACATTAGGGACTGCTCCCTTGCTAATCTTATCTACAAGATTTACTACGGAGAAATAAAATGTACTCTTTTTCCAACAAACCTTAAAAATAGCAACAAATCTGCAGTGTTATCATCCAACTGCCAAACAATGGGCTTATGTATCTGTCATTTATAAGTAATGTTCTCATAAAATATAACTGAGGTTCAAATGTTTCCCCCAATACATCACAGTTTCATTTGCCAAATCAACTCCAGCTACGATCTTCTGGGGCTGCAACTCCCAATAGGTGCTCTACATTCACTACCTTTATCCTTCTTGCTGTCAACTTTGTTCTAAATCATGCTCATTTATATCAAATATACATAAATACCCGGGAATTTAAAAAAAACAACACAACATTTACCTTGGCTGGTTTTGTAGATTCTCTTGAAGGTTCTTGCCATCTCTCCCTGTCTGCCATAGTTAAGCGTGGTTCTTGATCACCGTTGCTGTCGTCTCTGGTTATTTCCTGGGGTGTCTTTCCTTCTGATTTGAAGGCTGTAGAGGACCTTGCTTCATCCATGGTGAACTCTGTGGTTGTTTCTTTCAGAGTCTGTTTCTCTAGTTCAGGGATTACAGAAGATTCTAGATCACCTGTGGATTCCTCTCCGGTAATTAACTCTGGAATTTTTCTCTCTGCAATACACACTGTGGTGGATACCAGATCTCTGGTTTCCTCTTTGGTCATTGTTTGGGGTATCTTTTCCTCTGATTTATCTGTTACAGAAGTGTCCTTGCCATTTCTGATCTCTCCGATTGTCTCTTGGAGTGCATCTCTCTTTGGGGCAATGGTGAATTTCTGATCACCTTTGATATTCTCTTTCAGGCCCAAAGCGGTCGCTTCCTTTTCTCTTTCAGGAACCTGTTTCTTGCTAATCTCTGCTTGCTTTTGTTCAGCAATGCTGCTCAGCAACCCACCAGCTGTTTTCTTGGTGGTGGTTTCACACGCTGATTCCTGAATACTTGAGATCAATTCCTCCTTGATCTTCCTCATCAACGTTTCTTTGGAATCTGGGATAGGAAGGGACTGTTTTTCCTTGGAAGATTTCCCTAGTTTAGTGGTTTCTCCTGGGATACTGATCTGCTTTGGATTCTTTATCTCAGTTTTCTTCTTTCCCATGGGTTTTAGATCAGCCTCACTCAACATTTCTGGAGCACCAAGACTTCTGATCTCAAGAATTTTTGCCTCTGGTCTCTGTGGTGTAGTTTCAGCATGCTTCACTGGTATTTCATCTACAGGTTTGTCTTCAATATGCTTATCGCCAATTGCAAGCTTGAAGGATTCCTTAGCGTTTATGTAGACTATTTCTTCCTCTCCTTGATCCACAGAAACTGATTCTTTTGATACTGCCTCTACTGCTTTTGACCCCTCCATTCTCTCATCTAAGTTTCTTTGATCTACTTCAGAAGCCATAGCTGTAGCTTCTGTCTTTCCCAGAACCCCATCTTTACTGAAAAAGGCTCTCTCTATTCCTTCTTTGTCCCCATCACTTTGATACATCATTTCACCAGCAAATGATTGCTCTCTCCCTGCCTCCAGTCTCTCTCTTTTCTCTTCTGTCTCCTCAGCTACTTCTTCCCTCTCCCTCAATTTCTCTTTCCAGGGTTCCTGTGATCTGTTTTTCCTAATCTCTCTTTTCTGGGTCTTAAATGCTGGAGATACAGGCATTGTGGCTAATACTAAGGGAGGTTCAGGGGACAATTCAGCCTCTCCTAAGAGTTGACCCACTACACCTTTCTCTGAAGTTTCAGGAGGAAGTGATTTCAGCACCTCTTTTTTCATTATACTCATTGTCTTATGTGATCGATCAGAATCAGCATCTCCAGCTGCACTGTAGCCCATTGCTTCACATCTAGCTTTGTGTTCATCATCATCAGTCATCTCCGTAGCAGGACTATCCATGGCCACACTTTCCTCTTTGGGTGTTCCATTTTGCAGTAGCTGCTGGGAGTGGCATTTATATTCTCTCCACTCTTCAGGATCAGATTTGTCATTGAGTATCCAAATGCCTTCCTGAACAGCCACAGTTAATTTTTGGCTGATTAGTCCTCTTTCAACAGCTTCCTTTAAGCTCTCCCCAATATTAGTGTCAACAATCCCTCCAGCCATCATCTGGTTCGATGCAATGATTCTCACCATTTCTTCATCCACCACTTCCCGTTCCAAAGCAGACATCAGAGACAGTCTTTTGCCCGTAGCACCATCCACAATGCCACCAGTGTCTGCTTGAGCCTGCAGTACTCTCAAGGTGGGCAACAGGTCTATTTCCCCCAGCTTCACAGCCTGAGCACACGTCAGAGCGTTCCCTGTCACCTTGTCCTTGATTGCTCGGAAAGGAACAAGCTCCAGATACCTTTGTCCAGATTCAATGTCAATTTTACATTTCTTTATAAATTCTGAATAGGGAATGATCATACAGCTCTCAGGATCTACAATTCCATGTTTCATATCGGAAGACAACACTGCCTTTTCCATAACTGGCTCAGATAACAATCCCTCCTTTACAGCTTTAGACAAAGCCAGCCTCTGTCCAGAAACAGGGTCAATAACACTTCCACTCAAAGCCTGTACTTCTTGGATTTCAGCGTGAAAGTCCAAGTTAATTAGCCCTAATGACACTGCCTTGGGTAAGGATACAAGCTCCTTTCTTTCTGGATGAACATACTGGTGCAGACACACACTTTCAGACTTTATGAGTTCTTTGCACAAGTCTTGATCAATCAATCCATGTTTCATTGCGTTATTTACTGAAAGTCTCATTCCAGACATGTGGTGAATAATTCCTCCATCTGCTATCTGTTTGGTCAAGAGTTGAAGGGCTTTCCCTTTATTGAGAAGCCCTTTTTCAACCGACTGGACAATAGTTAACGGTTCTTTAGTTTTAGGATCCATAATTCCACATGTTTCAGCCTGTAATCCAATGAGTTTCTGTCTAGTTTCATCTTCAGCATCTTTTCCTTTAGAAGCTTTCTCTAACTTTATAAGTTCCTCTTGACTGGAGGGCTCGATCAAGCCAAGATTTAAAGCCAAAGTGACTGATATTTTTTTGCCTCGTTTCAAGTCAACAATTCCTCCAGTAACTACTTGTCCTTCTAAAATTCTCAATGCTGTTTCCTCATCCAGTAGGCCAACCTCAGCCGCACCCTTGACAGAGTAGACAATATTACTACATGGGTCGAGAACACCACTTATAGCTTTATCAGATGTGAGCACCTCATGCAGAAGTTTCTCATCCATCAGACCTTCACTAATGACTTCTTCGGTGGTTAACGATTCACATGTGTGAGAGTCGAAGAAGCCATTGAACATTTTCATTTTCTCCATCAGTTTAACAGCTGTGTGGCTGGACACTACACCACAAGCTACGGCTTCATTCAGAAGAAGATTCTTGCCCATCTGCTCATGGTATATACCCCCACCTTGGAGTTGCGCCACCAGATTTGTTAAAGTGCAGTCTTCTCCCACTTCCATAGAATGTTTGGGTAGCACAGAAGTTTCACGAATACTGAAATCAACTGATAAATCTTCCACATCCGTGTCTTCTACTTCCAATACTCTTGCGCTTTCAGTTTTTTCTGTTTCTCTTTCTTCCATTTGCTTCTCATCTCCAGTTTTAAGAGGCACGATTTCCTCTCTTTTCACTGATCTGTTCTTAGCTTTTTCCTTATTCAACAAATTCTTATCCGTAATAGCTTGTGTCTCTATTTCAGATTCCACCCTTCTCTGAGTTTTCTCTTGCATGATTTGTGGTTTCTCAGTATTCTCTGATTCATCCACAGATATGTAGGTTTCTTTTCTCACACCATCTCTTACCATTTCAGGTGCTCTATCTTTGACTTCATCTATTAAAAGTTTAGCACCACTGGAATCTATCCCCATCTCCACCAGCATTTCCTTTGCTTCTCTGGGCTTTATCTCAAAGCTGATTCTAATGGGGTCATTAGCAGATTCTGGCCTAGACAATTCTATTTGATTTCCACTCCTGGTTATAGTCAGCCTTTGTTCTCTTGCAGATTCAGCATCAATTTCACTCTGAATAGAAGTTTGCTTTGCAGAAATCTCTTCCTGTTCCTTCAGATTCAGAGTTTTTTCTTTATACTTTGAGGGAAAACTTCCAATTTGTATCACTGGATTTTTATCATCTAGAGACGTATTTTCTGACACTTCTTTCTCTTCTTTCAAAGCGGTAAATTGAAACTCAAGTTGCTTCAAAGCCAAATCATTACAGGGCTCCCTTTCAGTAGTTGCACTCTCCCAGTCTCCTACCTCCTCAAGGACTTCCAGACCTTTGTAACCATCCTTGTTAACGTCCAACAGGTGAGTACTTGATCCATTTTCTTGAGCGGGTATAACGGCTTTAGTGAGATCATTTAACTCCCCATCGACTAGGAGCAGCTTGTGGCCATTGTGGATGTTGATATAGCTGTGGGTCATCAAATGGAATATCAGCCTATCATCATCACTCCTTAGTAGAGGGTGACTTTGGTCTTCATGACTCCCTCCTGCAGAGCCCATGCTCAGTTTGCTTCTGGCTGCAGAGCCTGCCAGCTGCATACTGGGCATCACGTCAGGTATGACGGTAGATTTTAGCTTCTTGGCAACATCTCTCTCCAAGATGCCATGCTCTGCTGCTTTCTTCCAGGTCAAGACCTCTGTGGTTTCTGGTATGAAGAGAGCCTTGATGAGTTGCCTGTTACGAAGAATCTTATGAGCCAATTCAGTGGACAGGATGCCCTGCTCTAGGGCATCTGCAACTGGGAGGATCTCGCCTGACTCGGGCCACAACAGCCCCATAAAGGACCAAAGGGATTCCAGGATCACCAGCGCAATCCTCGAGGCTACTAAATCTCTCTTTACTGCTTCATCTATTGTCAGTCTCTCTCCCGTGACAGTATCTATAATGCCACCTGTCTGAAGTTGTCGGATCAAGAGTGCACATGCCATATCCTGGTCAATCAAATTATGTCTCACTGCCTCGTCCACAGTCAGTCTGTGCCCTGTTCTGGGGTCTACAATGCCCCCAGCAAAAAGCTGGGCTTCCAACAGCCGCACAGTGACCTGCCTATCTATTAGCCCCTCCTGGACAGCACGGAAGATGCTCACTTTCCTACCTGATTTCAGGCTCACCATCCCACCTGCCAGCTGCTTGATGGGCAGCAATCTCAGGCCAGTCTCTTGGTGAATGATACATCGCTGCATTAGCTCAGTCAAGCTGATTTTCTTGGCTGTGTTGGGGTCAATCAAATTCCTGCAAGATCTCAGGCGAGAGGCCAGTTTTGAGTGAAGCTGAGTAGTTATGAGGCCTTCTTGAACAGCCTTTTCCAAGCTGATCCGGCCTTGACCTGAAGGGTCTAGAAAACCCCCTGTAACAAGGTGAACTTCTAAAATCTTCAGTCCAACATCCTCACTGATCTTTCCCTCTTCTACTGCAGAAACTGTGGGCAGAAACCGTTTTCCTTCCAAGCGAATTTGACGTATCAGAAGAAGGGTATCCTGCAGCTCCTGCAGCAGCTGGAGAGTCCTGGGATCGATGATGTCTCTTGCCAGGCCTTCTGCCAAAGAGAGCTTCTCGTTGGTCTCAGGAACGACTAGGCCAGACGTGATAACCTGAGCCTCCAGCAGTACAAGGCCTGTGTCCTGGTCTATGAGACCTTTCTGCATGGCACCAAAGATAGGGAATATTTCCACTGTGCCCAAGTCTATCACTCCCGCAACTGTGTCACATCCCTAAAAATGGAGAGAGAAAATAAAAATCAAATCAGAACCACAGAGGCTGCTAAAAGCAAACATCATTTCGAGTAACTACAGTGCATCAAGTCCAGGGATGCCTCAGATTCCAGGACAAGGAAAAACAAAACAAAAAGCCTAAAAGACTAGAGAGCAGATCCCAACGGGTATGACATGCAACGCCGAGTGCATCTGAGCGAGACGCTCATGTAAACAACTCTATATTTTCTAACTTGCATGTTGTTTTAGAGCTCATCTAGTCTCCTGTGCGGCAGCACTGAGACATTTCGACACCCATCATTACAATAACACAGCAAAGCGGCAAGCGGCAAAACCCCAGCTTTCGAACGTCCCTCGGAACGACCAACAGATAGAGAGAGACACATTCAGACAGACGTGCACTTTAGCCTTTCAACACTTCAATGCAAAAGGGGACGGACAATATGAACCCAGTTTTGTGCTCCCTATGAGGCAACAGGACAAAAGGAAAAGCACCTTCAGTGGTTCAGAAATCTCCCACTGGTGTAGTTGCCCCCATAGTGCCTGCCATGCAGATCTGCAGTGCCAGCCACCAACAGGAAAGAGGGAACCCCGTGGCAGATACCAGCTCACCAGCGACAGCAGACCAGCCATGCACCAAAGGGCAGGGGAGTCACCTCTGCCCATGCAAGCAGGCTGTAGTGCAGCATTCTCTGGCACTGCCATCACAACTTCCCTCCCTGGAGTATTTCAGAAATGACCAACTCTCCAGTAGCTCAGGCCAGGCCTCGGGGAAAACATAGCTCCAGACTACACTAGGTGCCAGGGTGGAAAGCACCATGATCAGGACTGAGGCTCCAAAAATAGCACCCGCCTCAAGTATTTCTGGAAGGTCTTTTTTCTTGGTGTTATGAGCACAAGCAGGGGAATGCTCAGGAGGGAGCAGGATTCTCAAAGATGACGAAATGGGAATGAGCATCCCCTATAGTATGTACACCAGAGCTCCTGCTTTCTACACTCCCGTTGCTCAGGTATGAGAGCCTGGGACACTGGGAGATACCCCAGAGGGAATCCCATGCAGAGGGGAAATACGGGAATCTGGATTTTGTGAATAATGCAATCAGTTCAGTTCATATCTTTAAGACGCTCAAATTTCTGTTTGCAGACGTGTCCCCTTATAGTCCCATGAGAATGTTCAATAGGACGTGGCAGCTTGGATATGGTACCCACAAACACACCACTTCCAGCGAGTTGGTCTGAATTTACCCTCACGCTCTTTTTTACAGGGTGGATGGGGGGGAACTATTAGAAGGCTCTTAAACTCTCTAAGAGCACTGTCAGAACCCAGCATGCACAGTCCATCCTCAACAAGCCACAGAAAGACAGAGGAAGAGAGAGAGGACATAAAAGGCTTTTACTTACCAGAGTTGCAGGGTGTGCCTTGAGCAGTTAAAGACAGAGCCTTATGGAGCAGCTCAGCCGTATCACACACACAGTGTAAAGCTTGGTGTTAGCATCCAGCATGCGACCGTTTTGTTTTGCAAAAAAGAACCCCCCACGCAGGTCGTCCTCGTTCTGCTTTGTGTGGGGTGTGTGTTTAAGGTTCCGGAGGGTTAGTTAAACTTGTAAGCAAGGATGTCAGTTAATCGTAACAATACTTGACATGAAACACAAACTGTACAGGGACACATCATGCTCAATGTAGCGCGGGCTGCAGTTTTGCTTTGGTTTCCTCTTTTTAATTTGATACCCTTTCGCTGAGTCTCGGCTCTTTCCAGCGAGCAAATGTTAAAACTTCTCCATGGGGCTCCCTTCTACAATGAAGCAACCATACCATGAAGCAATGATAGCCCTAAAGATACTCCCTCATACGGGCCAAGTATCCATAAGAGAAGCCCTAAAGTGCCTCTTATAAATAGTTCTAATCCTGTCCCACTTTTGGGCTTCACAGAGAGTGCCAATGACAGCTCTCCGTGCTAATCTTGGTTAGCCGGGAGGCCACAAATCTGGGGGCCTGTCATAATTAGGAAGCAAAGTACACCCCTTTCAGCAAAACAGAAATGTAAAAGGAAACTGACACCCCCCAAATGTTTTCATGCTGTATAAATAAAACACAGCCAACTGTAGGGAAGACTTTTGTATGAAAGCATTTTTCTTTCTGCGGGAGGAGCGGGGAGAGGAAAGAATCTGCATCCCACTCGCTTTGGACCTGCAGGGCCATTTTTAGCTTCTTTTCTGGCAGCAGTGAGGTAGGTGGGATTAATGACATGACAATTTAACTGGGGAGAGTGCTACCTCTAAGCTCGGAGTCATTGCTGAAATGGCAGCATGACTTTTCTGCTGCTAGCAAAGTAAAAAAAAAAAAAAAAAAATCATCACTGGACCGAGACATCTGAACCAGGATAGAAATATGTCTCTTTAGATAGAAATATGTGTGCTTCATTTTTATGCATACAGCACTGAAAGTGTGGGAGTTTAGATTTCCCATAAATAAACTCAATGGCCTTGCCATCCTTTTCACTTGATCTGCTGGACTGGGACTTCACTATCTCCCATTTCAGTTTTGGCTATCACAAAATCATGTCCAACTTGGCCAGTGCTTCAAAATACAGGGAGCTAGCAAGCAAACACACAGAGATATCCATTGGACACATATATATACATTTACATACACATACAGGTATATCCATGAATGACTGAAGACAGCTAACACCAATAACAGAGGTGATAGGAAGGAACTTCAAACCCTTCCCACCTAGCGCATGAGTGTAACATGAAACGGAGATTGACAGGAACATTATCGGATGCAAATGGGAGATGGACAGGGGTCCAGCTACTCAGTCAGTGAAGGTTTCTCAGATTAGCTGAGGGTCTATCAAGGGGATGATGCAGGGCTGCATTCCACACCGAGAGGATCTCAATTTCCTACTATTCAAGGCAAGTCTACTTCTTAGTAGTGCATTCCACAATTTATGCCTGGAGGTGTGAAAAAGATTGCCCATACACCAGTCTCTATGCAGCCGATCTTCTGGCAAGAGACGTAATCAAAATGTCCTTGCAGGAAGTGCTTAATTTGTGCCAGGGCTGAGACCCGGCACCTCTGAGCTTGCTGCATCAGCTATGAATGTAAAAAAAATGCTGGAGCCCCAGCACCTAATTGCTTGAGCCCTGGCACCTCTCACTGCAAATTAAGCACCGCTTGCAGGTCTCACCCAGGTCCTACATGACTGTACGCTCTCTATTTTAAAAGAGCTGAAAGGATACCCCCATGGCCACTCTGTCTCCTTAATAGATCAGATGTCCACCTCCCTTCTTTCCCATTACAAGATTAAGTCAACTCTGTAGCCTGGGGATCAGCCCTGATTAACAACACTGCAGAGGAGACCCATCCCCTAACAACCTGGAACAGAATACGAAAACCTCTTCTACTCAGCCTCCAATGACCAACTCAGCCCGGACCCCCGAGTGCAATGTATGGGACAAAATGGAAGAGTGGCTGATCATGTGAGATTAAGGACAAAGCAAACAGGCTGTGAATGGCCGGTGGTCATGAGACACGCAACCAAGCAAAGCCTCTTTCATGCCCTGAGGAAAGGTAACTCAGATCTATGCGATAGACGGGATGGGAAAAGGTACCTTGTGCTCCGTCTCCTGGGCCAGATGGCTCTGAAGCTGTTGGAACTGTTCCGCAGAGTCGCTGCAGAGCTGATGATAAGTGTCCTTTAGGGCACTGAGTTGGGTGGAAATTTGTTCGTTCTCCTGGTCAGAAAGCCTGCAAGATGGGACAGGAAATCTCTTCATGGAGTCCAAGAAAGTGACATGCAGCTCCATGTATTTCAGATTTTCTCCTCCGAATACAAAATGGCAAGCACATAATGGAATCCCCTTCTCACACTGCTCATGCCTCAGCTGAAGGGTTAAGTGCATTGCTATGCCAGTCACACTCGGCTGAGCACAGGGACCGAATCAGGAATGAAACTAAGCAAAATAGCTGAGGTTGTGAATTACCAGGATGGGGTGAAACCCTCGCAAGAGAATTCAATGGTTTTGCATTCCATTTCAAATGCACAACAATGGTTCCATTGGGGGGGGGGGGGGGAGTGACAGTATGTCGTTTTCCTATACAAAAAATGGGCCTATTTTCATTCACATGGTCCAATTTTCAAGCTAAAATCCACTAAATTCTCAAAGCTCCTCAATTCTGTTCCCACTGAGATGCCTTTGTATATTTAAACACACAAGATTTGAATTTTTATGCTTCAGGGCAAAATGGGTCATTTTAGCCAAAAGCAAAGTTTCTGGGTTGTAAAATGGCCTGGAACAAAATTGGGAATCTCTATTGGGGCGAATTTTTTGATAAAGCTTGCCATTTTCACATACACCTGGTCACCATTCACAACCGTCACCTGGATTCGAAGAATACCTGCCCACCCATGGAATCTCATCAGTGTGTTCGAGTAATCTGGCCATTAGAATAACTTGAGGTTAATTTCCTTTGTATTTACCATCACCTTTTCTTCTGACAAAGAGGTGTACTACCCTTCCCCACTCTCCTTTCTCTTATTCACCACTATTTGTATTGTACTCACTTGTGGCTATGTTTTGCCAGGAAGATCTGTGCAGTTTTGATGGCCTCTGAGACCTGCTCTTTCCTTGCAGCCAGCTCCTCATTTAGAGCCTGTTGAGAACAAGAGGAAAGCTAAATTCCAGGTTGGAAAGAAGGGAAGCAATTCCCCTGAGGTTACAGCACATGCTCAGTGTTACACAGGAAGCATTAAGGTTGCTTTCCTTCAGTGGTTTTGGAAAGCTCAGTTGGAAATAGCAGGATAATGTAGTTTTAGTATGTATAACAGCAGTATGAAAATGACTAAGTACAGGTACCATGCACATATCAGAGAGAGGGAGGGACACAGGTCTCCTGATTTACCTGCTGCTCCGAGATGGATTTCTCAATGTCTCCCAGCTCTTTGCTCTTGAGTGGACCAGTCCTGACTTGCGTGCTCTGTTTCAAACCAGAGACCCAGCCCAGGAGTTCTTTCACCTTGTCCACATGCTCCTGCTTCTCCTCCTCTACTGCTTTCTATACATGGGGGAGACAGGAAAATATCCTGCATTAATGTACAGAGGGGCCCAGAATTACTGCAGCCAGAGCCCAGCACCAATCAGGCATATAGCCATTTGGTGGAAGGAACTGAAATATGCTCTAACCAGGAAACGGGAAGGGGGTCTGAAGCAGAGGAAGAATCACTGGCAGAAAATGACCACTGGGCCTGGGAGTTCTGAATGTATTAATTATGACTTTAGAATCACAGAATCGTAGGGCTGGAAGGAACCTCAGGAGGTCTCTAGTCCGGTCCCCCACACTCACGGCAGGACTGAGTATTATCTAGATACTACCTGACAGGTGTTTGTCTAACCTGCTCTTAAAAATCTCCAATGATGGCAATTCTACAACCTCCCTAGGCAATTTATTCCAGTGCTTAACCACCCTGACAGTTTTTCCTAATGTCCAACCTAAACCTCCCTTCCTGCAATTGAAGCCCATTGCTTCTTGTCCGATCCTCAGAGGTTAAGAAGAACAATTTTTCTCCCTCCTCCATGTAACAACATTTTATGTACTTGAAAACTGCTCTCATGTCCCCCCTCGGTCTTCTCTCCTCCATACTCAACAAACCCAATTTTTTCAATCTTCCCTCATAGGTCACGTTTTCTAGACCTTTAATCATTTTTGTTGCTCTACTCTGGACTTTCTCCAATTTGTCCACATCCTTCCTGAAATGTGGCACCCAGAACTGGACACCATACTCCAGCTGAGCCCTAATCAGCACAGAGTAGAGCGGAAGAATTATTTCTCCTGTCTTGCTTACAACACTCTTGCTCATACATCCCAGAATAATGTTTGCTTTTTTTTTTTTTGCATCAGAATTACACTTTCACTCATCTTTAGCTTATGATCCACTATCACCTGCAGATCCCTTTCCGCAGTACTCCTTCCTAGGCAGTCATTTCCCATTTTGTACTCCACTGATTGTTCCTTCCTACGTGGAGCACTTTGCATTTGTCCTTATTGAATTTCATCCTATTTTCTTCAGACCATTTCTCCAATTTGTCCAGATCATTTTGAATGTTGATCCGATCCTCCAAAGCACCTGCAACCCCTCCCAGCGTGGTAACGGCTGCAAACTTTATCAGTGTACTCTCTATGCCATGATCTAAATCATTGATGAAGATATTGAACAGAACCGGACTCAGAACTGATCCCTGTGGGACTCCACTCGTTTTGTCCTTCCATCTTGACTGTGAATCACTGATAATTACTCTCTGGGAACGGTTTTCCAATCAGTTCTGCACCCACTGTATAGTAGCTCCATCTAGGTTGTATTTTCCTACTTTGTTTATGAGAAGGTCATGTGAGACAGTATCAAAAGACTTACTAAAGTCAAGATCTACCATATCTACCGCTTCCTCCCCGTCCACAAGGCTCGTTACCATGTCAAAGAAAGCTATCAGGTTGATTTGCCACGATTTGTTCTTGACAAATCCATGCTGACTGTTACTTATCACCTTATTGTCTTCTAGATGTTTGCAAATTGATTGCTTAATTATTTGTTTCATTATCTTTCCGGGTACTGAAATGAAGCAGACTGGTCTGTAATCCCCTGGCTATCAAACATCCTTACTTCCTCTTCTTCCAGCCGCCGGAGAGCATCACTGATGTACTTCACGTGCTGCGTGGTTAACGTTACCAACGCTGTATAGCGAGTCCGTAAATCCATGAACTAAAAACAACAAACAAAAAAACAAACCACCATGCGTCAGTCGGAACTCTGGCTTATACAACCACAGGACTTTACAGGGTGAGAAATGGATACAGAACCTCTCATTTGGAAAGATCCCCAAGCACTTCACAGACTAGATACGTTACAGCACCACTGAAATGCAGCAACTCTGAGACGGAGGGTGGCAGCCACCTGACGCACTGCATGCTGCACAACAGCGAGGGGGGAGGGGAAGTTTTGGTCGAGGACACTGGGGAAAACCTTCTACTCTTATAAAAAGACCATGGGATCTTTAATATCCACACGGAGCAGACAGGACCTTGGTTTTTAAAGGTCTCATCCAAAAGATCCACACACAGTATACTGCATGGTACTCTGTTTATTTACCTTGGAAGGATGAAGGGCTGAGTCGACCCTGTTGGGATTTGAACCTGTGGTTCCAAGGAGTCTAGGTATTTCATACCTGAAGCTTAGAGCACTAAGCCATCCTCTCTGGCTAATAAAAAAAACAGTGAGGGTGGAAATTTTTATATAAGAGTTCAGCAGAAAGGAGCTATTTTCACAGACAGGCCGCTCGTCTGTCTTCTAGGAGCAGAGGAACCTCTCCCCACTCCTCTCCCATGCAAGGCCAGGCAGGCAGGCAGGCAGGCTGCTTACCTCTTGAGTGATCGCATCCGAGGAGGAAAGCATGCGTCTGCGTTTCATGGGAGATTTCTGCTGTGATTCCACAAACGCCCTGTATGTCATGAGCTGCAGCTCATAGTCCTGGAAATAAAAGAAAGCGGGGTGTGTGGGGGGGAGGATTTTGAATTGTTACCTATTTATTCTAAGATTGGCATTTTCAATTCTCTCCACACACAGAGCCAGAACACCAAAGCCAACAATAGAGGAGTTTTGCCTCTCTCCTGGCTTAGGAGAACGGAATATGCAGGCAATGATTGTGCAGTTGACACCAAGCTCTCTGTTCGCCTCGGATTTAAGAAACATGTCATTACCTTGACAGCAGCAGAGTATTGCTGTGAGAATTTCTGACACTGGTCCAGCTTGGCTTGATTTCTGTCGATTACCACAACCAAAGCCTTTGACAAAAAAAGACAAAAAAAGAAAAAAAGATTTTCTCCCCTGCCTTTTAAATGAAATTTTCCGCTTATTTCCTCTTTGACTCCTGACCATGTCACTTTCATATTGAACTTGTTCTCTAGAGTCCTCCAGCAACAGAACATTCCTGCCCTTCCATCTGCCTATACATTAAAAAGACACTATGCAAGGTTTGTGATCCTCTAAGTCTGACCTCCTGTATAACAGACCATAGAACTTCCCCAAAACAATTCCCCAAGCATGTCTTTTAGTAAAACAACTAGTCTTAATCTAACACTTGTCAGTGATGGAAAATCCACCTTGACCCTTGGTCAATTGTTTCAATAGTTAATTATATTCACTGCTAAAAATTTATATCTTATTTCCAGTTTGAATTTGTCTAATTTCAACTTCCATTTATTGAATCATGTGAGATCTTCCTCTGGTAGATCAAAGAGCCCATCATTAAATATTTGTTTCCCATGAAGATAGCTATAGACTGTCATCAAGTCACCTCTTAACCTTCTCTTGGTTAAGCTAAATAGATGGAGCTCTTTGAGTCTATTACTTTAAGGCATGCTTGTTACTCCTTTAATCATTCTTGTGGCTCTTTTCTGAACCTTCTCCAATTTATCAACATCCTTCCTGAATTGCGGGTACCAAAACTGGATATAGTATTCCAGAAGCAGTCGCACCAGTGCCAAATACAGTTGTTAAAAAAACGCTCTTCTCCTACTCAAGATTCCCCTGTGTATGCATCCCAGGATCGCATTATCTTTTGGCCACAGCACCACATTGGGAGCTCACGTTCAGCTGATTGTCCACCATGATCCCCAAATCCTTTTCAGAGTCACTGCTTCCTAGGATAGAGTCCCCTATTCTGTGAGTATGGCCCACACTCTTTGCTCCTAGATGTACACATTTACATTTAACAGTCTTAAAACACGTACTGTTTGCTTTCACCACGTGATCCAGATCATTCTGAATCAATGACCTGTCCTCTTCTTTATTCACCTCTCCCCCACAAGTCTGTGCCCTTTGCACACTTCATCAGTGATGAATCTCTATAATCTGCATAAGCCCTCCTGACACTTAAAGATTCTTTGCTATGATGAAGTGGCTTATATTTCTTGTTAAACAGCCATTTTAATTTCAGCTCTTTCAGTACAGAGAGGAAGACATCAGTGTTTGTCGAACAAGAAACACCCAATCAATAGGGGGAAAACATTGTCCTTTCTTTAAAGCCCATTCAGAGTATTTATTTTCTGCTCACGGAAGGAGCTGAACTAAGACCAGTGAAGTCACACAACTTATTTACAGAACAGGTACAGGGGCACGCTTCTCCCACAACGTCCCACCATGCCTCAGCACTTCCAGGAGTGGAGAAGGTAGCTCAGCCTCTGTGGCCATTTTACGGAGATGAGAAGGGAGTATTATCTAGATCTCTCTCTTCCTTAAGTACTGTAGCATGAGCGCTTCACCATCTTTAATGCATTTATTCTCACCACACCCCTGTGAGGCAGGGCAGTGCTACTATCCCCATTGTGGGGATGCGGAACTGAGGCACAGAGAAGCTAAGGCCCAGATTTAAACCCCTAACTCCACTGAAATCAATGGAAGTTACGCACCTAAACACCTTCAAAAATCTGTCCCTGAGTGACTTGCCCAAGGTCACCCAGGCAATCTGTGGTGGAGCAGAGGCTTGTACCCAGGTCTCCCATGCCCCAAGCTAGCACCCTAACCACTAGCCCTTTGTTCCTCGGTGCCTCTGATGGAACCACTAGGCGCTACCAGGAGACCACAGGTGAATGAACTGCTGACAGTGGTAACATTCAGTTATTACCCTTCTGGGGGGCCAGCTGCTCTGGTAAGCTATAGATGAATGCACACACATTATTGCATATCCCGTGAGTCATTCAGCCCTTAAGAGAACAAAGATTTGAAGCTGACAAGACAAAAGATTTATTTAAAAAAACAATACTTGTCCAACTCCTTTCAGCAACCCTATTCCAGTTAGAAAAGCACCATTTTCTCTCTCACCGTCTGCTGGCTCAGCTGCTCAGAGAGCACTTTGCTGTCCTCTGCTTGCCCAGGTTTCATCAATTCCTGCTGGGCAGTGGTCTCCTCAATCCACTGGATCAGCTCTCCGTGACACTCCCTGTAATCCCCCAGCACCTCCTGGATACTCTCCAGATCTGAACAGCTGAAAGGACCAATGCAAAAAGGAAACCATCACCAAACTCAAATCATTGCATCAAAACAATGGCTCCAGGTCCAGCCACATGCAGAGAAACCGCTAAAGCCGATGCTTCCCCGGGGATATTTATAGAAGCCACAGGTACAGCTCTGCAGGACAGGGAGCATGAGGGGTGTTTCCAGCCAAGCTATGGTTTGTTAAGGGTGACAATGTCTCCAACCAGTAAAGATCCAGATCAGAACTGAAAGGGGTTCCACAGAATCAGCCTGGCAAAGGTTAGCAGCTGCTAAGGGAGCTGTAGGATAGGCCGGGGATGTTAAAGCAGGGAAAGAGAGTCAAGAACTCAAAAGATGGAGTTGCAGAAGCAGAAGAGAGAAAGAGAACAAAGTCCTGCCATTCCCTCAGATGGGAATAGTTCCTATATTTAGTGGTGGCATTTGCCACCCTGGCTGCGAGCAGAAGTTACAGCTGGAAAAAGGCCATTGCTATTTCCAAGTCTGGCACAAGCTTCCATCAGAGGCACAGCCAGCAAAGCAGCAAGCACAAGAAGGGAGTGACTCACCGGGTTTCAATCTGAGAGCAAACTCTCTGCCAGCGATCCCACAGCTGGGCTCCCTTCTCCTGGTACCGCTCTAGGTCCATGCTGCGCTCTTGCTTCAGACGATACAGCTGCTCTCCCGTGATTTTAGCCTTTGCCACATCCTCTTCCAACGTCGAGAACACAGCGCTCTTGTTCTTCGCATCACTGAGCCATTGCTTTAACAAACAACAAGACAGCTAAATCCATATTACCACGACCAGAAAGTTTAGCTGCATTTGCTGTTGCGAATGTACAACATGGAATTCTCCAATCAAACGTAAGCAGCTAAATGTACAGAACAGTTAAGACAGGAGAAAGAAATATCTAGCTCTGCCTTGCGTTGCCCTGTGGAGTTTAGGAACAATGATCAGCTCCATCATCTCCACCATCTGGCTGGATCTGGGACCAGGAGGTGCAAAATGCAGGGATCTGTAGCCCAGCCCAGAGCAAGTCGTAACGGTGCGTTTGGCATCGCAGTTACGCACGCTGCGGCTGCCAAGTGCAGTTAGCACCAGCCGTGCAAAAGAGCCAAGGCAGCTGTTCTACCTACAGTTCACAAAGCAGTAAGGATTTTGTCGACTCAATTAAAGCCTCCAATCACTCACCAACGAGCAGGTGGGGTGGACCACAATGCAAATTCAGTAAGGAAAGGGGAGAGTGCCAGAGCTCAAGACTGGAGTGATGCTAGTTTCTACTGGATGCTATTGGAAGCATAATGTTACCAACCTGTAATGTAGCTCTGTGAGACTGAATAGCTGTTAGATCAGCAGGGACTGCCTCCTCTTGGCTCAGTTTAACTTCATATCCTTTGACCAGGGACTCTGCTCCTTGGGTACTACGAACAATAACATCCACCGTCTTTAACCTATCGTGTAAAGACAAGAAAGAAACGTGACTTCTCGAACTGAGGATATTCTGTATTGTAAAGTCATTTGGATCATAAGCTGCAGAGAGGAACAGAACAGCTCGCTCTGGATCATACCCAACATTCACATTTGAATAGCAGGAAGAGAGATCCATAATGGAATCTAGATTCTCAGGGGAGAAGCCAGTGAACACAAGCCCCTGTATATGCCCCTGAAATTCTAAAACACCTTCAAGTAAAACGGAAGGGATCAAACAGAACAGAACACAGAAGCAGCATAATCTAGTGGTCTGAGTTCTAGGATGAGAGACTGGAATACCAGCATTTAACCCCAGTTCTAACAGCAACTCCAAGTCACTTCATCTCAGCGTTCCCATCCCCAAAGTGGGAATAATTAGTTACTTTTGTACAACACTCTGAAAGGGAAAAGTGCTATATAAATGCTACGTGTACTTACTGCTTACCTCCCTCATGGGCTATCATGAGGATTAGTGCTTGGGAAGTACAAGCATAGCAGGGATACTATTGGCAAGCAAACTACAGATACCAGCTCTAAGGATCACCCTTAAAATAAAGCCCAGTGCGAAGCAACCTCAATGTTCCCAGTACATATTGTCTGGCCTTCAATTAATAAGTTGCCAGAGAACCTGTTTTTGTTGGTGTTTTGGGAGGTGCCTTATTACAGTTTTCACGGTGTATCTCAGAACAAGAAATGCATGCTTGGCTGTGTCATGTTAGAGTCCTACAGCAGTGAGTCAGTGAGAACTCCTCCATCCTTCCCTGTTCTTTGCTGGCCAATATTGTTTCATTGGTTCCTTGCACTCCCTCATCTGCCTGTCTGTATCCGTCAGTTGTCTCTTGTCTTATACCCAGCCTGTAAGCTCTTTGGGGCTGGAACCATATTTCTGTTTTGTTTCCATAGAGCCTAGCACAATGAGGTCTGGTCCATGCCTATGGCTACTAGGTGCTAAATAATAACTTCTTAGGCAGGGTCACCCTTGTCAACTGCCTGCTTTTTTCAGCTCTTGATTGTGCTGATGAGAAGTTCGGATGTAATAGCACTGAACATAGCAAGCTGTAATAGCAAGAGGTGTTCTGTACATTTTTCCCACCCAGCTCTGACAATGCACCTCAACCCTGACCTACAATGGCCCTGGGTATTCCAGCCCTGCACCAACTTCCACCCCCATGTACTATACCCCCAGCCACATAACACCTGATCACAGATTGTTCATCATGGTGAATTTTGCCAGACTGATAGCTCAACTTGAACCATTTCCCAGTTGAATGCTGTATCTGAAACCCAGCTGTCTGGAGCACTGAGTCACCTCAACACTAACACTTAAATATTCTGGAGCACCACTGCCTGGCACCCCTTGCAGCTCTTGAATTTGCAGCATCTCCTAGACATTCCTAAGCCCCATTCAGAAGCATGAGAGCAATTCCCACCCTCACCCAGTTTCAGAGAAGGGAGCCATGCAAATTCTGCCCATATAGAATTCTCTCAACTCCAGAAAATAGGCATGTTCTGACTCACTTATCCAGGTAGATGGAAGAAAGTCCATACACGTGATCCATCTTCTCTACCAGTAGATTGAGCTCAGAACGCAAGTGTGGGGCACTGGACCCAGTTGGAGACTTGTGTAGGAAGCTGTCACATTTCTCAGAAACGTGCTGCAAGTCGGACTTCAAGTGCCGTAAATCCTCCTGCATACGCTGTGTGGAAACAGAGAATTAACATCAGAATAAAGTGCAGACACTCAGGAAGACGGAAGCAAAAGTGAACAGGATAAGATGCAGGAGCGCCTGGTATCAGACATTTCCAGCTTAAAATTCTATTTAGCAGAATCATTTCAAGTCTAAATGGGCTTGTAAATTCTGCAGAATTCACCATTTTCTTCATTCCTTTCCATTATCAGATCAGGATGCTCTGGTCTCAGTGGGTGCAAAGGCCACCTGCAGTCAGTGCTTTGGAAACTGTTGCTTTTTATAACTTTTTAAAGAAGGAAGACTTTATGCAATGGATGTTTGCCCAGCCAGCCTATGAAAAAGGACATAAAAAGGAGAGAGATCTTTGCAGATTTCTTCCGGGGGTTTATATTTCTCCTCAAGAGGCCGCCCAGTGGACTGAGGGATAGGCCCAGGTTATATGACCATAGACATTTTCCCCTTGGGGATCTGAAGCGAGGAGACATCATGGGGTGGGTGAAGGTGTAAAATGCAAAAGGGCGGCGAGGCAAGAGAACAAAGATACCTTCATTGTCTTTCTGACCTAAGAGTAAAACATTCCATCTACAAGATTGCTATGTGAAGCAGGTGAAGATGAGAGGGGAGTTCCCCATATGAAATTTATGCCAGGGTATCAATGACCTGTGAAGCAGTTCTCTTAAGACCAACAGTGGGTTCCCTCAAACACTACCTTCCTTCAGGAAGTACTGACCTCCTGCTCTGCAATGTGGAAGGTGTTTTCCTGGATAGCATCACCGTCTGTTCTGGTGCTGCTTGGAGCCTGGATTCGCCTCACTAGTCTCTGTTCACACTCCTCCAGGCGCAGACGGATGTTCTTTAGCTCAGAGAGATATGCCCTGGCAATGGTCTCATCTTTGTCCTCTGTTAAGTGACAAACATACCAAAAAAAAAAAAACCACCTAGGATTAGTCTCTATTAGGAACCGTAGACCCAAGTGGCTGCATTCTTCTGCCCAGAGAGAAGCAAACACAGAGGTCTCTACTCAGATGGAAACCAATTTTGCCAAAGGCCTGTCAAGAGATGTGAGGACCTAATGTTTAACCACTGGCAGCAAAGCAAGGACCCCACTACCCAGATCTAATTGGCACCATTTGCCAGTGCTATTTCTCCCCAACAAAAGCCGCACATTCGAATGAACAGCAGAGAAGAGAACAGCCATTTGCAAAGCTAACACTCACAAGCTAGTCTAAAAATTAAGAGCACCTGTAAATCCCTTGTCTCTATCAGCCCCCACAGCTCCATGTCAGTCTATTAACCCTTCCAGCTCACCATTCTCCATGGACTCCAGCAGATGTTGGAAGTGCTCCTTGCAGGACTTAACTTCTTCCTCCAAGCATAGCCGATCAGCCCCAGAAAAGAGCTCTGAGTCCTGGCTGTCATGCAAGAAGTCCTCATAGTGTGCCTGGAGGCTCTTCATGGCTTGCTGGCACTCTCCTTGGGCCAGAGATCTCAGCTGTGGAAAACCAAAGACTAACTAGAAGGAACCAGGCTCCAAACTGCCCTGACCAAGCTCCCAGTTACTGAAAATTACCCGGATGCTTCCCCCATTTCTCACACACAGCAGTAAACATTAATTCACACGCTCCTTTCCTAGCAAGCATCTTTTCAAGGGTGACAATCACTGCCAGGCCACCCCTGGAGCCAGATACTAGTGAGTCTCCCCTTCTCGGACAGGACAGCTCTTCTTGTCACGCTATGCTGCAGCACGGCCTCTGCCTTGCCTGGGTTTTTATCTCGCTCCCCCGCACTACAATAATCTTTATTGCCTGAACAGAGCTCTCCCATGATTTCAAGGAAAGATATTATGAGGAGTTTGCTTTCCCTGGATCTTTCTTCTGCTTCCTCATTCCTCTCACCTCCACCTCTATTCACTCCTAAGTAAAAAGGAGCATCCATCCTAGGACACCCTAGCTGATTATAGCTCAGGAGCAAACAGCTGATGCTACAGTCATTGCACCTTTCTCTCTTTGCTCTGAACGTCCCAGAGCTCAGACTGTCTTACACTATGCCCCTCAGGCTGATCCCTCAGTTGCCCTAACCCTTCACCCTTGAATCATCTCTTACTATTTTCCTTGTATTCCCTACCCAGGCGAGGAAGCCTTGGCATCATTTCCAACTCCAGCCAAGCGGCTGGGACTACACTTAATGCCAAAGCAAGTTAGCTTTCAACATTGCTGGAGAAGACCAGCCTACACTGCAGTGACACGGACACGTGGATTTGTTGGGATGCTTTGTATGGTACCTTCTCCATATTCCAGCCTTGCACCAGGGCAATGTCCTTCCGCAGGTAGTTCCAGGAGATCAGGCTCTTTGTGTTCACATGGAGCTGGTGCCAGAGGGCCATCACCTTCTGGTACAGCTGTTCGACCCTACGACAGGACATCAGTTCCATCACTACCCAGCTCCCCCAGCATGCTCAGTTACGCATGGAGCCAGGCCTGTGCTTATTCAAATTCAGCCTTTAACTTTTAGCTCATTAAGATAACAACCCAAGGTCGAGCCTAACCGAGCAGAACGAATAGGAAGGCTTGCAGAATGCCCTGATCAGAATCAGATGGGAGCCTTATATCTCTCTCATTCACATGCATTAGATCCTCACTGGGGAATCCCCCCTCCTGCGTGTTGCCATCTCCAACCACCCAGAAATATTTCATCGCGTGTTCTTGTGGAGTTAGCAGCAGGAGCACTGGAAGAGCTGCCTCCTCTGCCAGGCAGGCCAGCCACACCCCGGGGGCCCCTGGCCCCTCTGCCAGGCAGGCCAGCCACACCCCGGGGGCCCCTGGCCCCTCTGCCAGGCAGGCCAGCCACACCCCGGGGCCCCTGGCCCCTCTGCCAGGCAGGCCAGCCACACCCCGGGGGCCCCTGGCCCCTCTGCCAGGCAGGCCAGCCACACCCCGGAGGCCCCTGGCCCCTCTGCCAGGCAGGCCAGCCACACCCCGGAGGCCCCTGGCCCCTCTGCCAGGCAGGCCAGCCACACCCCGGAGGCCCCTGGCCCCTCTGCCAGGCAGGCCAGCCACACCCCGGAGGCCCCTGGCCCCTCTCCAGGCAGGCCAGCCATGGATGTTCAGCTTTTTTCCCATTCCCATTAATTTTATTGTTTGTGAAGTCACTAGGCTGGAAGCACTAAAAAACACCTCCTCGTTAGCCACACAACAAGCAGGGCAAGGGAACCACCTTGCCCTCATGGCTCACCCCTACCTAGAGAGTAGCTCAGTTTCCAGACCCATTTAGACCTTGTCCACACAGGGGTTTTTGCACTGGTGTGGACAGCATTGGTGCAAACCCCTAGTGAGGAAAGGCTGCACCATGAGTTTGATCGTTTGAAGCCAAGATAAGCAGCACAAGTCATGCTTTATATTGGTGCAGGCGCATCTAACACCAGGGACTTGCACTAGTGCAAAAGGCTAGACAGTCTAGATGAGGCACCCTTGGTCTCCCTGCTGATACTGTCGCAAGGGAGTCGATCACAGGAACAGGTTTTGTGACACTGGTCCACTGGGAACTGAAACAGCAAACCCAACAGCCATCAGACTAAGTACTTCTGGGTACAGCTCACCAAGCCTGGATTTCAGCTCGTAACCAGAAGACTCCAAATCACCACCAATCCCCTGAACCCTCCCCATCACCTGCAACTGAGCCCCACCACATTAATGAGTTAGCCACCTGTTGCAATTAATATTAACAACATGAAGCCCCAACTCCCAGCAAAGATGGGGGGGGGGTTAAACTTTCCCCCAATCAAAACAGATCTGGATGTCTCAGTATAAATAACCCAGAACATAACAAACAGCTAGAGGCATCTCTTGGTCATTCTAGCTTTGGAATTCCAACCCACAGCGAGCAGCAAGCAGTGAATTGCAGAGCTTAGTTACCTGTTAGCAATGTCAATTGCCTCTTTGTTAGGAGGGGGGATCAGGAAGCACACAGATGGTACCATGGCCTCATTGCCTGTGGGGCTGATCACCTTCCATTTGGTCCTCTGGGAATTATCTTCCAGCACACACTCATCGTTCTTACAGATGGTGATCTACGTAGGCAACAAAAATAAGATTGCATTCCAACACCTGACCCATCATTGCCTTCTGTTGTGGCCAGATCCCTTTCTGGGAGACTCCAGTAGGGCTACCTGAGGAAAGGAGGCTTTCAGCCAACTCACGTTAAAATCGAGCAAAAGCGAAGTAAATTGTGAATCACCTCAAAGAGCTGTCTAGAGAGGAAGGGAGGAGAAATTCAGTGATGCCAGGATGCTACCCCGGAAAGTCTTTAGCTAGAAGGTATCAATTCCACCCTCCTATGGGAATGGAACGTTTGCTACTGCTCAGAGAAAAACCAGGACCATTGGAGAAGCTATTTCAGAAGAGGCAATTGCGCTGCCCGCCTCCTTATACATCCCCTCCCTACCTCGCTGTTGTTTCTTACCGTCAAGTGCCATAGAAGTGGTCCAAGTTTCTCTGTTTCCTACTTCCCCACTATTCCCCCAACCCTCTGCACAAGCCTGGATTCTTCTCCTCCCTTCACTCCGAAGCCCGCAGGCTCCTTGCCGTCAGCTCACCTCGATTTGGCGATAGTCACAAACAGCCTTGACCGAGATGGTGCTCTTCAGGACATGGTCCGGATTTCTTGGCTTTAGCTGAACGATGGTTTTGGACCGCCCAACCAAGCTGGCAACAGAGCTCTTCGACTGAATAAGCTGCTCCTTTTCATCCTGGCAAGAATGAAAGTGCGTCTAGTGCAGGTGGCAAAAGAGAACCACTAAATCCCTTAGAGTTGTTGCAACAACCCTCTTGCCCCCTGAAAGGTGAGGGTCCTCCAGGGCTGGGCTGGGCTGGGCTCTCAAGGGCTGAATGGATATGCCAAGAGAGTCCCTCTCACCCCAGCTGTGGGGGAACACACCCCAAATCAGGGCTGGAACCTTTCCTTTCATTTTTGTGCCATTCCAGACAACTCACTTGCTTACCCCCACCCCACCAAGCTGCATGCAGAGCATTAATTTCTTTTGCTGCTAGAGACAAGAAAATAACAGTCTTCTACAAAATTTAAATTGCAGAGTGTATAAAACCGTGACCAGCAGGACACACCCTCACTGAGGAGGAATTTCTTTTTTGCTGCTTTGGGAAGGCTGCAGAACCCTGTTTAATTCCTCATTTTTATAAAGCAAGGAATGAAGGCACGTTTAAAAACAACACTCAGGATGTAGGTGCAAAGAGTTAAGAAGATAAAACATCCCAGGGAAATGGCTCAGAAACATATCTTCACTAAAGACTTTCCACTATGGTTAGTGGTGAAGCAATCAGAGTTATTAGATATTTTGATAGAAATTTGCCAGCTGGGATAAATGATATTGCATAATTGGTTTCTGTCAGTCACTGCTGGTCTGATGCTCTGAGATCGCAGCGGTTCTCCATTTTCAGAGCATCCTCAAAAACAATCTACAGCCATTCCAGTGTAGAAGTGTGGGTAACATTACAGCCTGAATAATTTATAATTTATTATGGTCCAGCCCACTTTGACTTATGAAGTCAGAAAAACCATCCAACAGAGAACTTTAACACTCATGCTTTCCACTCTGAGCCCATTAAAGGGTCAATTAGTGCACTAGGAAGGGTGAACGGTCTGAGTTATTTAATGGTTAAAAAAAAAAGAATAAGTGCTTAAATAAACTACCTGTGCCTGTCCCAGGGAGCATGATTGGAAGAAATACAACTTTAACTCATTAGTTACCAAAGAATAATAGCACATGTCAGGGAGATAGCTGGACTTCACCGTTCCTGAGACGTCGGTTACTTTTCAAAACAAGGAGTGACCCACTATCATGCCAGAGTCCTAATACTTGTGGATACAGCTCTAAGAACCTGCAGCTAGTACAGCTGGATTACAAAGGGCCTGACCACCTGAAACTGGGAGGAGGGAATGCGCCACACGGACCCTTAAGAAGAGAGGACAATGAGTCCAGAAGATTTATCCTACATGACTCCCCAATAACAGCACCCATGTTTTTTGCTGCAGAACCTCTGGATCAAAGGAATCCCATAAGTAAGAGACTGAATATGGCAATGGGATTTCATGCATCTGAGTTTGTTAACCTCCACTAATACGTTAGTACTTAATCAGTCCAATCTGAACAAGTGTATAAATGTTAACATTTAAACTTTATCAGAGGATTAGCAATTAAATACTTAAGTAAGCCCGCACTAATTAGATATACCAAATCAGTAGCTGGTTGACAGTTCACTCCTTGTGTTTTATTATACCAATTTACACTGAGCGGTTATAAAGTTATCTTATTGTTTGGACTGCTCTATATTATTCCATTTGCATCAGGTCATGAGGCCTAAAGATTAATCTGCCAAAGAGCAGCCTGCGACTGATGTCTTGATTACTGAATATAAACATACACAATTACCCTTATGCTCACTGCTTTGATTTTATCGTTAGCAACTTTCTGGAACTGGCATAACAGATTAATGACAGATTTGATCTGGATTAAGAGTGGGCATTTCCCACCATCCTTCCCTGCACCAGCTAAACAACCAACTGGATGCAGCCTCCAGCTGCATTTGACCAGATCAGAGTAACCATCTTGGACAACAAAACTCACCCATCACCGTATTTCTACGCACAGAAAGATAGTGTGGTAGATAGTGATGGTGAAACATCTGGACTTCATTTTCCTGTGGTATAAAAGGTCTCTAACCAGCCTGTTTGCACAGCCGGCTCCTCTTCCCTTCAGCAAGGGTGCAAGGATACAGAGAGCCTTGTGCTCTATAAGAGTCCTTTACTGCAGTCACTGATCTTCCATTATAGCTATTAAATTAAAATCAGATTAGTGTAGACAGTGTTCAGTAAACAGAAAGCAGCACAGTTAAGGTCACACAGCCTGTACTCGGAGACACACACACACACACACACACACACGCACAATCAAAATGCAAAGAGTGGCCTGAGACAGGATAGGCAAAGAATATTCAACTTAACTGTGCTGTTGTAGGAATAAACAAATATACCCATTTTCCCCTGTAACACAAAAGCCAGCAAGCAGTGCTGCTCCACAATACTGATTGTGTATTGCACCAAGCCCATGGTGTTGGGGCTTATACAGAACACCCACCATGGAATCCTGGAGCAGATCTTCCAGGCGGGTCAGGCTGGTGTTCTGGTCACAAGAATACTTCCGTTTGATAGAGTCCTGGAGACTCCGCAGGTATGTTTCTGACTCTCGGGCATCGCTGAAGAACTGCAAAGCCAAAAAGCATTACAGAAAGCTGTGCAATACAACACACCAAAGGCTATTCATTGCCACAGGCAACACTGAAAGGAACCAACCAAAAATCTCATTAGGCAAGTTTCTGCTGCATTTCTCTCCATCTTTGTGCTGTTGGAGCTGTAAGCACCACCACAGGCATGGCCTGGGCTATAGCGAGAAATCACATCCCACCATATAAAGTGCCCAGAGGACCCGGCAGAAGGGAAAGAAACACATGGGAACAAACTCAGAAGTCCTTTATTTAAAGCTGTGTTTACGATAAAGCCTATATTGCCCTGCAAAAGGATAAGTGCGTTGTGGGGCTCAAACATCAGGGTCAGTTGATGCTATACCATAACCACGGTGCACATCCAGGTTTGGGTCTCTGAACCATAGATCAGGGACAGAAACGCAGGACTGTCCCTCCCTACTATACCTGGAAGTAAGCAGCATTCTCCTTCACGTGCTGGTCTACACATAAGCAGAGCTGTTTGATCCATTGCCACTGGGACTGGACAGCTGCACTATATGCCTGGAAAATACACACATACAAAGAAAACCACAAGTTACAACAACAAAGGAACAAGGTGCATCTGTCAACGAAGGGGCTTGAGTCAGTGTTCGGCTAGTTCACTCAACTAGCTTACAACGTTCACATAAGGAAAGAAGGATTTGGTTGTAATGAGATGTCGTGGGAAGTGCCCTGGAATAGAGACCAAAGGAAATAAATTAAAGAAAGGAGGCTCCTCAAGTGGCACTTCCAAGGTAGTTTCCCTCCATCCCCTGGAATTGGTGGAGGGGCTTGTCAGTAAAAAACCCTGCCCTAAGAACCCTTTGCTCCACAGACATGTTTGCTCCATCAGTCTCATAACCATGAATAATTCAAAGCGAGCTCAGGGCCACTGGCTCTCTTATCTTACCACAGGACCTTGGGCCTGGGCCCGGTACACACAAACATTTATCGTTATTATCTTGGGAAGGGCACTGTGTAGAAGTGTCTCCCTTGTCCTCACAATAGGCAACCTTATAAATAAAGCTGTTTACGTCTACTTGGAGTTGATAAGAGCAGTTCAGGGTGGAGGTGGATGTGTGGTGTGTCTACAGCATGTCTCCCACTAAGCTGGGTTCAATTGATATGGCTTGGCGTGACACTCCCCAACTCCCCAGCGTATCTGCCCTTCAAGTGATCAGTTACCTCTACAGTCTGTTTGGCCGGGTGATTCTCCAATGACAGCAGCTCCGCCGTATCTTGTAGAGACCGGAACACATCTTGTTTCTCTTCCAGTTCCATTGTCAGCTCCTGAGTGGCAGACACAAGCAAAGACTCAAATCAAAATCAATCGTACATTTCTGTGGAAGCTGTACTTGAGTCATTACATACCCAGGCCAGGCTGAAGAGGAGCAGGGATGTGGGGCAGGGTTAAAGCCGGTGTTGGGAACAGCACTGAACATTTCTTCAGTTCCTAGCATGTAGGTTTTGAATGGTAACACCTTATTAATATTGTCTTGAAGGGCAGTCTCCTTAACCTTAACTGAGAATTTCTGCCTTGGAATTTCCTTAATTTTGAATGGATACAGCTATAAATAAAACATTATTCAGGAAGTTATCGTTCAAAGACTAGATGCTAGGAGCTGAGGGAATTTGCAGCCAAGTTTTCAACTCCAGCTTTAACCCTGCCCCACCGAATATTTATTACATGCTCACAAAACTGGAAACCCTGCTGAACAGATTTAGCTTGTCCCTTTGCCTTCTACGCCAGCCACAGTTCGCCAGTGGTGATCGCGACTGCGGCAAGCGCTGCGGGCTGAGCTGTAGTAGCTCAGAATCCTGGGAAGCCTTAATTTGAGAGCTTGTAAGCCAGCTGGACATTTTACAGAAATTGAAAAGCAATACCAGTGTAACTAGGCAGCCCTGTTCTGATGGGTGCCCTGTGCCTGCACTATACTCACTGAGAAGTAATTCCTTTTGGCAGCAATATTGGGGTTGTTGTCACTCCAGTCATACGCCAGCTCCTCTTCCTCCTTTTCATTCAGCCAGATTAACTCGGCAGTGGCTCGGGACACAAACCCGTACAGGCTCTGGAGATGCCGCAGTCGGAAGCTCGACATTTCCTGCATTCCATGAAATAACCCACTCATCTCATGATCCATAAATGGATGCTTCTCAGACTCTTCTCTCTTCCAGTGCCCCTGAAGGGGGCTGAGGACATACAGTTACAGTACTACGAAGATGTCTGAAAAGTGTGTAAGTAAAAACCACCACCCCCGAGATGATGACTCCAGCTGTGACAAGTTGCTCCAAACTGGGAAACATTTCTCATGTCACGTAAGTCAAGCAAATAAGGACAATGAGAACAGCTTAGGAAATTTGGATCCTTTGCCTTGGACACTCAGGGTTACAGGCTGAGTAAAGCCATGGCCTCCATAGCACACAGGCCAACCTTGCCAAAATAACCTGGTTTGCCATAAACAGGTTTCCTCTGAATTCTGAAGAAGACACTAACGTGTCTGCTCTTCTCTCAGCTCTCAATGATTACTGCTGTTCCCTCTCCCAATCCTCACCACCAGCAGGAGTATGGACCCCGTATTCTGCATCCTGTGCCAGGGGAATATGGTGCTGGGTGGAGGGGTGGGACTCTCAGGCACCAGAGCATGCTGTGGACATGGATAATGCCTACTCACCATCAGCTTGCAGTACTGTGTCTCCAGCTTGCCGAGCGTTTCTGTGTAGCTAGTGCGGAAATTCTGAGACATTTTACCCTAAGAAGGAAAAAATGGTTCACGTTGCCAGTATATAGCTTCAATTTCAGAGCATCGCACCCCATACCAGCCACTTCCCCTGAGTTTTCCTTGAGCGGTAAGGACCAGAAGCGAGAATGCTAGCTGTGGCAAGTGGTCTCTTCTCTGAAGCAGGGGGTTGGGGGAGCGGGGGGCAGAGGAGAGAAAGAGGAGAGGGAAATCAGGCGGTTTCCCTTAGTGAAGGAATAGGGCTCCAAGAGAAAATAAAAAGAACAACTTATGAGAAATTGGGCTTAAGACAACAAATCAATGAGGATCAAATCTGAACAGTAGCCGCAGCACTTAAGCCTCTTTGGTTTGAGCTTTGCCTGCAGAATAAGCTAATGGTGATACATTAAAATCCTGGTTCAATGGGACACACCTTAGATTCACAGATTCTAAGGGCAGAGGGGACCATACAGCACAGGTCACAGAACTTCCCCAAAGTAATTCCTAGAGCAGAGCTTTTGGAGACAGATCCAACCTTGATTTAACAATTGTCAGAGATGTGGAATTCACCATGACCCTTGGAAAATTACTCACACTGTTAAAACTACATTATTTCCAGACTGAATTTGTCGAGCTTCAATTTCCAGTCATTGGATCGTGTTAGCCCTTTCTCTGCTCCACTGAAGAGCCCATTATTAAATGTTTGCTCCCCATGTACATAGTTATGAACTTTATTCAAGTGACCCCTCTTTGTTAAACTCAATAGATTGAGCTCTTTGAGCCTATCACTAGAAGGCAGGTTTTCTAATCCAATCATTCTTGGGGTTCTTCTCTGAACCTTCTTGAATTTATCAACACTCCTTGAATTGTGGGCATCAGAACTGGACACACTATTCTGGAAGGAGTCACACCAGTTCCAAATACAGAGATAACATAACCTCTCTACTCCTACCTTTAATGAGTCTTGATAGTTGAGAGTGCTGGTAGAGCTGGCTGCACCATATACCTTCAAAGATGCCTCACTGCAGCAGCTTCAAGTGTATTCACACTCAAAAGCCACCAAACACTCACAGGATCTGATGTCATGCCCCTCCTCATCACTCCTCCGAGCACTGGCAAACTCTAGTGCCCTCAGTTACACTATCAAGTCTGTGTCCCCTCACCTCGTACATCCTGGCCTCCTTCACACTGGCGCCCAGATCCTCCACGCTGGAGTGGACATGCCGCTGTGTCTCCAGCTGAGATTCCACACTCGGCAAATCACTGCCCCACTCCGCCCGCTCCAGCTTCATCTGAAACAGCCACCAATAGGCCCAGTCAATGTTCGCCATCCCAAAGAGCATGCTCAAAAACACAGGATCCTGGAGGTGACATCACCTCCTAGCTCACTATTGTAGCAACAGATGCAAAGCCCAGCCCCGGTGCAGTGTGCTCCTTAAGAGACTGACCCTAACAGCGCTCAGGTCAATGTCCAAACTCACACTGACTTCAGGGGCAGCTGGCTCAAGCCCTATGCTCATGTCAAACAGGAGGAGCTTGTCAGGCTCAATTAGTCTTGAGCCCTGCTTTGGAGACAGCCTTCCACTATTCCCTGCAAACAGCAGGAGCATCATATGGGAAACCAAACCCAGCTCAGGGCAAGAGGGACTTCTCAGAAACAAGAGTATCTGGAAACCAACGGCATTCCCTGTGCACCAGGGACCAGTTGCACCGTCACAACATTTGTGGTTTAAAGGAAAAAAAAAAAAAAAGACAGAAACCCCCTCCACATTTTTCAGTTTTCTGACTTTGTTTTAGTGCCAATACATGCAGCTGAGTCAGCCTGTAGAGCTAGTGAAAGCCCAGGGCATGCACACACCTGCATCTCTTCCACCCAGGACAGCAGCTCGTACACAAATCGGAGGTTGCCTTCATCTTCAGAAGAGGAGATGGCCACCAGCTCCGCCCGGGTCATGGGCTTCCGGAACCAGGAGGTAGAGGAGGTGTGCGTGCCCTTTGTCAAGGGCTCTGCCTTCAGGTGTGTAGTGGTCAGGGTGGACGGCTGTACCAGCTCCAAGGTAGAGAAGTGACCCTTCCGGTACAGGTTAGTGCATTCCAGCCTCAGCGTGACCAGCTCATCTTGCAGCCGGACGATCCTGGAGCAGAGAGGGGGAGGGAAGACAGGAGCTGAGTTACCGATGTCTGGACTCCAGCAGATATATGGAACGACACCTGTTCTCCACAACGATCCTGCTTATCAAGGGTTTGTCTATCTGCTGAAGGAATCCCACCTCACAGGAAGCCCACGGAGAGCATGACGCACTCAGCTGGGCACAGCCACTACCACCAGGACTCGCATACCTTGCTGCTTAATGCAGCATATGAATGTGTTTCAGTCTATATCCCCCAGTCAGCGATGCTTCCTCATACACACAGCCCCTCACCTGAAGACCAGCTCCTCCAGCTGGTAGTAATTCTCATCTCGGAGGATCTGCACATCCACCTGCAGCTGCCGGATGAGCCCCTCGCATTCCTGCAGGTACATGACCACATCGGATTCGTACTGCACTGGCTGGCCAGACTCCAGGTGAGCAGCATCCTGCAGCGAGAGGTCAGAGTTACCAGGGGGATAGGTCATCCCCGCTGTACTGTAAGGGACATGCAAGGCAAGAGGGCTGTGTTCTGGTTCAACATTCAAAGGATTCGTAGATGTTGTGGCCAGAAGGGACCATTTATGATCATCTAGCCTGACCTCTGCGTAACACAAGCCAAAGAACCTCCCCTACTGGCTTGTGCATCAAGCCCATAACTTCTGATTGAGCCAGTGCAACGTCTTTTAGGAAGACATCCAGTCTCGCTATAAAGACTCCAAGTGGTGGAGAATCCACCCACCCCTAGACAAGTTATTCAAATATTTAGTTACCCTCCCTTTAAAACGTGCACCTTGTTTCCAGTCTGAATTTGTCTAGCTTCAACCACTGGCTCTGGTTACGTCATTCCCTGCTAGCTTAAAGGGCCGTCAACGATCAGAAATCATTTCCCCACATAGGTACCTCGATGCTTTAGGTACGTCTACGGTGCAATCGGGGCGTGAGCGCAGCACGCGTAGACAAACCCGAGCTAGGGCTGAACCAGCTCAAACAGCAGCGAGACCGCAGCAGGACAGGCGATACGAGCAACCCAGGCCCTGCGCACGTCCTCCAGCGGCTAACCTGTGCTACCGAGGCTTCGCTGCTCTTGGCATTCAAGCTAGCTCGCCCAAAGCCAGCCTGGATCTCTCACACGTCTGACTGCCCTGTAGACTTGCCATAGCCAGTCACCTCAGAACCTTCTCTTGGATCACCAGAATAGATTGAACCTCTTAAGACTCATTATAAGGCATTCATTTCCAGATTGAATCATTCTCGTAGCTCTTTGCCGAACCCTTTCCAATTTTTCAGCATCCTTTTGGAAGCACGGACACCTGATTGGACACAAGGACTAGTAACCGTCTGACTGATGCCATATACCAAAGTAACACCACCTCCGTACTCCTACGTGATGCTCCCCCTGCTTATACATCCAACGATCACATTCACCTTCTTAGCTAGCACAGTACTGGGCGCTCCCGTTCCACCACGAACCCCACGCCCTATTCAGAATAAGCTCAACACCCCAAGGGTGAGGTGCTGAGGTCTAAGCAGAAAGGCAGCTGCTCTGCCAGGCTATAGAGGCGAGTGAGGTGGGTTCGAGGGAAGGAACGAGGACAATAGACACAAGGCAGGAGGTGATCCTGGGAGACTAACACCAACACTCACGGCTTGCAGCGTGTTCCTTGCCAGAGTGAGTTTTTCTTCACAGCTCAGAGCACCATTCTGAATTTTGTTAGCGATTTGTAGCAGCAATTCCAGCCTGCGACAAAAGAAACAATCAGAGACATGAGCCTCTCCGGGACACCTTCAGCCACCATAGCGGTGGCAGAAGAGAATTCTCAACAGGGATCCAGCGAGCTCTGCCTTCCCACAGTTCAATACCAACCTCTCCACTGCTGGCCGCAACGACTTCTCGCGCTCCAGCATCTCTATGATCAGCTTGCCCCATTCCTCCTCCACGTCATTGGGGTGGTAACCTTGGGGCAGCTTGATGCGGCCGAATTCAATCCATACCTGGAAACATAGTAGTAGAACAGTGTCTCTTACCCCGCTGTATTACACCATTGACCGCATCTGAGTGACTTATTCCACTGACATCTCTTGGGAGAGGAGGGCACCAGTCTTCTTGGTTATAGCCCTGCATACCCCTAACCTGAATGTAGCTCCCCCTACACCACCTTGGGAGGGGCTGCCTCGGTCATCAGACCACTCTCTCTGCACCACGCCGCCAAGGGGCTAACACACTGCTGGGAGGTGCTAGGATACCACAGCGATCAGAGCAGCAGAACCACCCATGCCTCAGTCGGGTTGGCTCAGTGACGCTGCTGGCATTATAATAACCCTCAGGGTCATTTTTGTTTCTCTGTTTCAAAACAAATCCAGACTGAACATACAGTAAATCTTGAAAAACCAAATGTTCCCAGCGACCAGTCATGCAGCTGAGAAGTCTCTTACCTCTAGTAGTTTATACAACTCCTCTATCCTCCCTTTTTCTTGTTCTTTTGTTGGGATTTCCGTTTCTTTGAAGTGTATGTACTGATTATAAAGTGCCTGCAATGGGAGACAGCTGTATCAGCACACAGCCCAAGGCACCATCTCACGCTACCACCAGTTAAGCCCAAAGCCACAACTGGCACCAGACACTCCAAGGAAACCCTTACCTTTAGCTCAACAGGGTTCTGGGGGAAGGATGTATCTGACATCAGTATCGTGTGCTGTTTGATCCACGGGATGAGGGAGTCCACGCGGTTCTGGTACTCTAGCCACCTTGAATCCACCTCCTGGGAGGAGAAGGGGGAGCCATTTGAAGTGCTAATACTGGAAAGCAGCTACACAAAGCAACAGGCAAAATATCGCAGCTGGGCCCCAGTACGTTGCCAGCCAAAGCAGGGGAGAGAACAAACGGAACGTGCATCCTTGAGACTCAGACCGGTGACTTCTGCTGCCCAACCCCAGCTGAAAGTGCCTCCCCTCTTGTGATGCAGTTACACCGGCACAGAGGGAAAAGCAGGACCTTGCTATAAGCTGCTGTCTCCAGGGCACAACAGAGCTAGGTTACGCCGCTGCCCAGAGCTGAGACTTCAGTGCACCGCCTCAGGCTGGTCACACGAACCCACGGAGAACCAAGTGACTTTGCATGGTGCACAGGAGAATTAAAGGGCAGCCCAACCTGACTGGGGAAACTGTAAATTGCCCCACACTGCTCCAGCAGCAGCAAGCTGACATGAGCTCCAACCCCCACTTCCCTCTCCTGATTCCAGTCTCCGTGCTGGGAGAACCCTGCTAAACAGCACAAACTTCCACTGCCTTTTTTTTTTTTTTTTTTTGGAGACACCATCTTTTGTAGTTGGAGATGGAAGCCTCCAAACTTTTCTCCTGGAGACGAGGCAGACAACTCACACCACCCCCAGTCATGACACAAGGTGCTTACAGACCCGCCTTCCATAGAATTCAGGGTCAGAAGGTGTAAAAAGCAGCCGTTCTTACTATCGCACTGATCCCGTCTCCTCCCTCGGGGACCTTGGGAAAGGCATCGTAGATTGAAGACACATACGTTATCACAGACTTCTCATCTGGAGATGGGACATCCACATCTGGGGCAAGGGGACAAAGAAATCTAAGTCAGAGGGGGAAGAGGGGAAGAGGTAATCTTCTACCCAGATGGGCCAATCACCATCGTCTCTCACCTTCGGCATCCAGCAACCGGGTGACTCCAAGCCTCTCTGCAACCTCAAAGGCCTGTTCCAGATTCTCCCGGTTACTCTGTATCTGCACCCGCTCCATGTCCACCATATCCGGCCTGTAAGACACACCCAACAGCTCAGAGACAGCCACCGTCACACCTAGCCAAGGTGACACTCTGCTTCTGGTACAGCACCGTGCGTTCACAGCCAGATACCGCTAACCATACATGATACACAGGTACATGGAGACCAAGGAGGAGGAGGGAGGCTCCTAACACTACAAAGGGGGTCACCAGTGATTCCCCCAACGTGCCAGGAGCAAGCACTGTTCATGCAAGCAGGTATGCAAAGTTACAATAGGACATAAAGTGCAAATGAGGATTAGGACCAGAAGATCTTCACGTTCAAGGCAAGAAAAGCAGAGATTTCCTGGCTAGTTCTTTGAATCTGCTACACCCAGCTCAGTGCTGGGGTACACACTGCTTAGGACTCCTAACCCCACAAACAGTTACTCCCTTGTTTTCCATCTTCCTTCTGCAGAGTGACTCATGACCCCACTCCTTTCCATTTAGGGGGTTGCCCGTGGTCAGTCAGTCACAGCCTGACAAAGGGTAATTCAGGTGACAGATGCTGTCTGGAGACATCTGATGATGCTTTGACCTTACTGACAATTTTTGCTCATCTCCTTCACCCTCAACAGCGTGGTCTAGTGGTCAAAGGCAGGGGCGGGGGAGCAGGAGTCAGCCCTGCTGAGTTCTAATCCCAGCTCTGCCACCAACTCACTGTGCAGCCGGCAAGCGTCAGAGAGCGATAATACCACTTGCCTAGCTAGCTCACAAGGAGTTTTGTGAGCCGCTTAATTGCTGCTTCAAGAGAGCCTAGAGATGCTTAGATGGAAGGTGCCACTGAAGTGCTAAGTATTATTATTCACTGAGAGCAGAGTGGGAAATGACAACATTTACAGCACAGCAGCGCCTCCATAATCTGGTTTTAAAGCTTTTTTCCCCTTTGTTAAAAGGCCAACACTACTTGCAACTGTGTGCATGCTCAGCTTCTTCTGCTACGCGGGGCCCGAAGCAGAACGCCCATCCTCCATTATTCTAGGTCGGGCAGAACTAGGATTTCAAGGTGCAGACTATTAAATGCAAAGAGAGAACAAAGAGCCTTAACCTCCCAAATAGCCAAGTCAGACTCCTCTCTGCGTACCTGTATCTGTGAATGAGTGCATTGAACATCTTCCCGTCGCTCCAGCACGAAGAGAAGTTGGTGCACTTCACTCCCACGTAACCTGCAGTCACCTTCTGGGTCCACAGAAGCAGCTTCTCCTTAGCGGACATGTCCCCTGACTCCCCGCTGATGTAGATATCGGAGATCTGTAAAGACATGGTGTCGCTGGTGACACGGCACTTTGGAAGTGGGAAGAACCCTGTTGGGCAAGTTATGCAGATTTTATTTCGATACATACACACCGTACGAGGGCTCTCAGGAGCTAGTCTCATATGAAAAGTCCAAGCCAGGGATCCATGTCTAAAGACAGGTTATAGGCGTACAGCACCTCAATTTTTACTGCCACAATTGCTTGGATCGGTGCGGACTAAAATCAGCTGAAAGCTGAGGTCAGGGCAAATTCAGCGTAGCTGCACGTAACTCGGCTGAAGGCTTTTCAGAGCAAAGGACGTTTGGTTAAAGGGATACTATAGCCTGAGAGCTTTGAAAAGGACGAATATTGCATCCTGGGATGCACAAACAGGGGAACCTAGAGTAGGAGTGGAGAGGTTATTTTACCTCTGTATTTGGTGCTGGTGCAACTGCTGCTGAAATACTCTGTCCAGTTCTAGTGCCCACAATCCAAGAAGGAGGCTGACAAATTGGACATGGTTCAGAGAAGAGCCACGAGAACGATTAGAGGATTAGAAAACCTGCCTTCTAGTGATAAATGAAATCGATGGAGTTCTTTGAGTCTAACAAAGAGAAGGTTAAGGGGTCACATGATTTTATCCTATAAGTACCTACATGGGGAACAACCATTTAATAATGGGCTCTTCAGTCTAGCAGAGAAACATCTAACATGATCCAATGGCTGGAAGTTGAAGCTAGACAAATTCAGACTGGAAATAAGGTGTACATTTTTGACAGTGAGAACACTGAACCATTGGAACAACTGACGAAGGATCATGGGGGATTCTCCATCACTGACACTTTTAAAATTACGGCTGGATGTTTCTCTAAACCGTACGCTCTAGGAATTATTTGGGGGCAGTACCATTATTGCCTGTGCTATACAGGAGGCCAGGTCACCACAGTGGGCCCCTCTGGCCCTGCAATCTATGAATATCAAGCATTCCGATTTTTAACAACCCCCATCCCCTTCCCCTGTAAGTAGTCTCTCCTGAAATGCGTTCATGTCATTTTTTTTTTAATTCTAAAAAAAGCTAAAGGTTTTTTTGCTCCCCTGGTGAGATTTAGTAGGGTCTTCTGGGCAGCCCCATCAGGCACACTTGCTCATCCCCTTTCTCTGTACACACTCCTGCCTGCTGCTTCTGTTACAGAGGAAGGGTAAGCACCAACAACAGTGAAACGGACTACGCACAAAGCGCTGTCAAATGCAGGAAGCTAACAACATGAAAAAAAGCAAAGAAAAGATACCTTTCTTTAAGCTCTTTCAGTTATTGTGATTTTAGAGGCTACCTATAACAAAGGTAAGTGTGACATTTTCAGCTGGAAGTGCAATTTTCCCTTTTAATTCATCCAGCCAGTCAACACAGCCTACCTACAAGTCATCGTTTTTGCACTTCTCCCAGAGAGCATCACAAGAGAGCACAACCCAGATAATCACAGTGATGAGCGCTTTGGAAATACCTGAGACAGACAGACAGGGCAGTGGGGTGAAGGTGTTGGAAGACAGAGAGAAGAATGCCCTTCATTTGCCCCTGTGTTTAAGAGCCAGACCCCACACACTGTTAGCATGTCTTGGTGATTTACACTGAGCCGTTTGAAATGTATCTTTCTGCGGGATGTGCATGGAGAACAAGATACTCCAGAAAAACAAACAAATTCCAAGGCATCAGCAGCAGGTGGAGATGGGAGAAGCCGCTAAACCTGGTCTTAGAATGGTTTTCCTACCAGCACAAAGTCTTGCTTGGCTAGGTGGCTGTATACCAAGCCCAGCTACAGTCAGCATTGCAGAGAACATCTTCCAACAGAGACTGCCAGTCAGAGCATCTCTACCTCCTATGATGACTACAGACAGCTTATCAGAACAGCTTTTCCTCCCATACTGAATTCAGAGAAGCAGCAAGAAATCGTGTCTGGCTGAGCACTCTGGGGTAAAGTACTGGGGCATGGACTGGATCCATCTACTGCCAGGAGACTGCAGAACTGGGCCTGTTCTTACAGTCTAGCTGCGCTCCCTCTGTGCTGCTGAAGACTCCCAGGCTCACTTCAGCATAAGATTCACCCAAGCTCCGACAGCAACGCCCTGCTTTTGCCTAACAATGAATGCCTTCATTCATAGATCCAAGACACAGAGCTCTAGACAGAGTCCCCTAGAATAGGGGATACTAAACTAAGTGTTACTGGCTAGACATTGCCAGGGGTCAGGGTTTCTCCCTATTATCACCTTGAACACACAGCACCTACAGCTGACCTCCGACCGCTTGTTTACTCAGCCTGCTCTCCTCCCATCCCTCACTCACTTATTTGTCCAGCCACCCCTTAGGTCTACTCTGTTTAGGCTGTAAACCAGGGACTGTCACGGACTATGTGTCTGCGCAGTGCCTAGCGTGGCAGACAGGGCAGCTTTGAGCAATATCTTTGGAAGACTATATTGTATTAAATGTATGGCCAGTTTATATCTCATTGTGAGCCAGGGATTGTATTCACCCCGGGGTGGGCAGGGGTTACCACAGCTCCAGCAGGAATTAAACCCAGCAAGGGGTGATTAACGTCTCCAGAGAGGTACCGCCTCCTGGGGAGGCTCACATTTTCTGGCTCAAAGGGGATTCTCCAGAGACCCAAAGAAAAAGGACCGTGGAATAAATAGCCCAAGCTTAAACTGACTTAGGGCCTTTGTTCTGGTTCCTGATCTAAAAACTGATATTGACTTGTAACCACAGGGAAAATCCAGTTAGGGGGATCTGTAGGACTGACACCTACCAGAGCCCTAGGTTGGAGTTGGGGGTCATCTCTGATAAGCTTTTTAGCATGTGTGTAGGTTCTTTTATTGTTTTTAATCTGATTTTTCTGTAATGCTTTTACCTTAAGAATAAATGTGCTTGCTTAGATGGAGGTGTGTAGCAACTTGTAACTGCTGGCAATACACTGATCATCGCGCTTCGAGAGAAACCGAAGTGCAAGCACTGGTCTTTTTAGGCAGACTGGCTTGCTAGGAATATCATAGAGTAGATCAGAGTGTATGTGTTCGAGACTATGCCAGTGGTTCTCTCAGCTTTCCACAATTAGTAGAATTACTGTCCATCAACTCAAGCAGGACAGGGACAAACAAAAGGGGGAATCTAAATTTTCACCCTGGAGGAAAGGTGCCTGTAGAATGTTAAACCAGCTGATTTGCTCCCCTCACTGAAGCCCTGCTCAGCGCTGCAGAAAATCATGTGTCCAGGATCAAGCCCTTATATGTCGCTCCCTTCTGTGCTCCTCTCTCCCTGAACGTCCCCCTGCTTCATTAAACTTAACTAACTGGGAGCACAGGAACTTGATCACGAGCTACCCGCTCACTGCAGTCCTTTAGGAAGGTTACTGGAGGGGAAATATTTTCACTAGAGCTGTCAATTAATTGCAGTTAACTCACGCAATTAACTCAAAAAAATTAATTGTGATTAAAAAAATTAATCACGATTGATCGCGCTGTTAAACAATAGAATACCAATTGAAATTTATTAAATATTTTGGATGGTTTTCTACATTTTCAAATATATCAATTTCAGTTACAACACAGAATACACAGTGTACAGTACTCACTTTATATAATTTTCATTACAAATATTTGCACTGTAAAAATGATAAACAAAAGAAATAATATTTTTTCAATTCACCTCATACAACTACTGTCATGCAATCTCTTTATCATGAAAGTGCAACTTACAAATGCAGAGGTTTTTTTGGTTACACAACTGCACTCAAAAGCAAAACAATATAAAACTTTAGAGCCTAAAAGTCCACTCAGTCCTACTTCTTGTTCAGCCAATAGCTAAGCGAAACAAGTTTGTTTACATTTACGGGAGATAATGCTGCCCACTTCTTAATTACAATGTCACCTGAAAGTCACCAATGTCACCTGAAAGTGAGAAAAGGCGTTCGCATGGCCCGTTTGTAACTGGCGTCGCACTGAAGATTCATATGTTTCTTCATGCTTCGGCCATTGTTCCAGAGGACATGCTTCCATGCTGATGATGCTCATTAAAAAAATTCATTAAATTTGTGACCAAACTCCTTAGGGGAGAATTGTATGTCTCCTTCTCTGTTTTACCCATATTCTGTCATATATTTCATGTTATAGCCATCTCGGATGATGACCCAGCACATGTTGTTTGTTTTAAGAACATTTTTACTGCAAATTTGACAAAATACAAAGAAGGTACCAATGTGAAATTTCTAAAGATAGCTACAGCACTCGACCCAAGATTTAAGAATCTGAAGTGCCTTCCAAAATCTGAGAGGGATGAGGTGTGGCGCATGCTTTCAGAAGTCATAAAAGAGCAACACACTGATGCGGAAACTACCGAACCCAAACTGCCAAAAAAAGAAAATCAACCTTCTGCTGGTGGCATCTGACTCAGATAATGAAAATGAACATGTGTTGGTCCACACTGCTTTGGATCGTTATTGAGCCGAACCCATCATCAGCACGGACACATGTCCTCTGGAACGGTGGTTGAAGCATCAAGGGACATATGAATCTTTAGCACATCTGCCATGCAAGTATTTTGCAACGCCGGCTACAACAGTGCCTGTTCTCACTTTCAGGTGCCATTGTAAACGAGAAGCAGGCAGCATTATCTTCTGAAAATGTAAAACAAACTTGTTTGTTTGAGCAATTGGCTGAACAAGAAGTAGGACTGAGTGGACTTATAGGCTCTAAAGTTTTACATTGTTTTATTTTTGAATGCAGGATTTTTTTGTACATAATTCTACATTTGTAAGTTCAACTTTCATTATAAAGCAGTTGCACTACAGTACTTGTATGAGGTGAATTGAAAAATGCTATTTCTTTTGTTTTTTTACAGTGCAAATACTTGTAATCAAAAATAAATATCAAGTGAGCACTGTACACTTTGTATTCTGTGTTGTAATTGAAATCAAGATATTTGAACATGTAGAAAACATCCAAAATATTTATATAAACGGTATTCTATTATTAACAGCGCAATTAATCAAGATTGATTTTTTTAATCGCTAGACAGCCCTAATTTTCACCTGGCTTCTACTGCTCACAGCGTCCAGCTCCAGTGAAGATTCCCCTTGCAGGGAAGAGAAAGGAAGCTGCAGGGCTGGAGGCAAAGGATCCTCCCTCCCCCAGACATCTGAGGAAGACTCTGTGGAAGCACAGAGAGGAGTGGCAGCAGTAATGTAATTGGTATGCCGCTGCTCACCTCCCTCTCTGGAGTCTGACATGCTTATCACACAGAAAACTGCTCTTTTTCGGTTGCTGCCACACAGCCGGCTTTGGCGTTAACTCTTCCGGACCCAAAGCAGGGATTTCCTTGAAGCAACGGGCTGATAGACTGACATGATCACATGACCCACAGCCACAACAAATGCACAATGCACCTCGCGTACCATCTAAATAACAAACAACATAGTCGTCCGTCCCCAGATTATTAGGCCTTTGCCTGCCCCACTCCCCAGGCTGGAAGAAGGGACAGAAAAGGCAGCTGCATCCGCAGGATCCCGACATGCCCCACACATGCTCCACTGTACTACTGATACTGAGGGGCAGTACCACCTCCTCCTTGAAGAGCCTGCTCTTGGCACGAAGGAATCTGAGAAAGGGAGTGATGAGCAAATGGAACCGGGAGCACAAGCACAGAACCTTCCTTACTCACTGATCAGCTCACAGAATTCCTCTGAAATTTTTTTTTAAAGATCAACCACTTTTATCAGGACAGCTCTGCTCCCACCGAGCTTGGCATCTAAATACAGAGCTGCCTTCTCCAGTACATCAAGGTAATGGCCTTGGCCCAACAAGCCAAAATATTCAGCATCGAGCTCCTTTTGCCTACTGATTCCTACCTTTCATGGGCCAAGCCCCATCCCCAGCAGCCCAAACTGCGCTGAGAATCTGGACCGAGGTACTCACGTCCATCACAAATCAGAGGTGGCCCTTCTGCTCCCCAAATGGCAGAGAATAGTGACGTCCTCATCTGAAGCAACCCCCAAAACAAATGCAGCATCTTCTGCCACCCACAACTCCAAATACAGACACAAGAGACCTCTGGCCTCAAGCCCAAAATACAAGGAGACAATTTCACTGCCCCCAAGCGTAACACCCAATAACCAATCTCTTCCAGCAACCCTGCCTATATCACCATGGCCTCAAGCCAAAAACCCAGCGTACACTCATCTAGTCCTTCCCAGGCCAAAATACATCCCACTAGCCCAAGGGTAAGCAAACGTTTTGGCCCAAGGGCCACATCAGGAAGTGAAATTGTATGGAGGCCCAGGTAGGGAAGGCTGTGCCCCGCAACAGCCTGGCCCTGCCCCCTATCTACCCCCACCCACTTCCCACCCCGATTGCCTGTCCTCAGAACCTCCAACCCATCCACCCCTCCCCCCTGCTCCTTGTCCCCTGACCGCCCCCTCCCAGCACCCCCCGCACCTAACCACTGCCCCCCTTGGGACCCCACCCCCATCTAACCCCCCTGCTCCCTGTTCCCTGACTACCTCCCTGACCCCTATCCACACCCCCGCCCCCTGACAGGCCCTCCCGGGACCCCACCCCCTATCCAACCCCCCCTGCTCCCTGTCCCTGGACTGCCCCAACCCTTATCCACACCCCTGCCCCGACAGGCCCCCCGGACTCCCACACCCTATCCAACCCGCCCTGTTCCCCAACCCCTGACCGCTCGCCCCCTAGAACCTCTGCCCCATCCAACCGCCCGCCAGATGTGACCCGCGGGCCATAGTTTGCCCACCTCTGCACTAGCCGATGCCCCCTTTGACTATCCGAGGCTCAGCACTCCCTCCAATAACTCCATTTTCTGTTCGCGTTCCCCTGGACCACAAATGGCACTGCTGCACCAGGGCAGGATTCTACTGCCTGAGAGGAGATGGACTCGAACTGGCTGAGTTCACCTTCGCCCCGGAGAAGTGGGGCCGCTTTTCCTCTTTGGAAACATGCTGGGTTGACAGGAACTAGACTGGACACCTGTAATGATCTGGAGGATGGCATGGATTGCGCCCTCAGCAAGTTTGCAGATGACACTAAACTGGGAGGAGAGGTAGATACGCTGGAGGGTAGGGATAGGATACAGAGGGACCTAGACAAATTAGAGGATTGGGCCAAAAGAAATCTGATGAGGTTCAACAAGGACAAGTGCAGAGTCCTGCACTTAGGATGGAAGAATCCCATGTACCGCTACAGACTAGGGACCGACTGGCTAGGCAGCAGTTCTGCAGAAAAGGACCTAGGGGTTACAGTGGACGAGAAGCTGGATATGAGTCAACGGTGTGCCCTTGTTGCCAAGAAGGCCAATGGCATTTTGGGATGTATAAGTCGGGGCACTGCCAGCAGATCAAGGGACGTGATCGTTCCCCTCTATTTGACAATCGTGAGGCCACATCTGGAGTACTGTGTCCAGTTTTGGGCCCCACAATACAAGAAGGATGAGGAAAAACTGGAAAGCGTCCAGCGGAGGGCAACAAAAATGATTAGGGGACTGGAGCACATGACTTATGAGGAGAGGCTGAGGGAACTGGGATTGTTTAGTCTGCAGAAGAGAAGAATGAGGGGGCATTTGATAGCTGCTTTCAACTACCTGAAAGGGGGTTCCAAAGAGGATGGATCTAGACTGTTCTCAGTGGTGGCAGATGACAGAACGAGGAGTAATGGTCTCAAGTTACAGTGGGGGAGGTTTAGGTTGGATATTAAGAAAAACTTTTTCACTAGGAGGGTGGTGAAACACTGGAATGCGTTACCTAGTGAGGTGGTGACATCTCCTTCCTTAGCGATTTTTAAGGTCAGGCTTGACAAAGCCCTGGCTGGGATGATTTAGTTGGGGATTGGTCCTGCTTTGAGCAGGGGGTTGGACTAGATGACGTCCTGGGGTCTCTCCCAACCCTGATATTCTATGATTCTATGAACACTAGCACCTTCCCTCTCTCAGCTGATTAACGACCCTGTCGCTCTTCTCTGTTTGAATTGCTCTCTGCCCTGCCCCGCTACAGGTTTGAGGCTGAATCAGGGGGTGTCTCCCACCATTTCAATCATGTTCCCTATACGCTCTAGCGGTCTCTGCCCCCTTTCCACCCCACAGACTGACAGCAGCCAACAAAGGTACTTGGTAAGTCTCTCTCTCTCACACACACACACAGAGATAAATGCTAGAAAGTGCTACTAATGCCAGGGACATCACTACTGAAAGTTGCTGCCTTGGCCTGTCTGGCTGCAATGCACCTGTTTCTGGGACCATTCTAACAAGCCTCCTTCCTAACCAACACACTTTGCAAACTGCCCCTTCCCCCATTTTTAATCAGTGCCAACATTTCACAGAAATGTTAAATGCATGCAGACAAAGGGGGGAGCGTGCACGCCACACAAGTGTGAGAACGGAGGGAATGTGCTGTTAGCAACCCCTTGAAAGTGGGTGAACATGCTAACTGTAGTCAGTGCATCTCGAGTGACACACAGGCAATTACACCTAAAACACAAGTAATTGCCTTCCCACATCCTGCTTCTCCATCGAGTGCTGCTCCAGCTCTTTACCCTCACACTCTAGGTAAATTACAGGGTAGAGGCAGCAAAGTACAAACAGGGTCAGTCCACAAGCAAACAGCCCATGCAGTCCCCGCTCTCCTCATCTGACATTCCTAACAGATCTCCATGCAAATTACACCTAAGGGCTATCAGAGTCATGCAGCTCCTCAGGCTGGAGAAAGACACTTCTCCAGGAGCATTCTGACTTGGCTTTAACCTGCCACTTCTCCATATGTATGGCTGTAATTCACAGCGCTAGACACAGGGCTAAGCAGACTGGAGTCAACTGGGAAGAAAACTCTCCCAGGGAAATGGAGGGCTGGGCTGGATCACTGATATTCAGGAGAGCATCCCCCCGCCTCTGAAAGACGGTTCAGTAAATGAATAAGAGCACTGACCTTTCCTCCAGAAGGCTTCACGGCCTTCTCCGTCCTGCCCCTCTGAACCTGGCTGCCCTCTTGTGCAGGGAGTGGGCAGCCATCTTCCAAGATCGACCCCGAGATCTGACTGGCTACAGTATCCCTGGTGGGCTGACGGGACGAGTCACTCCCATATCCTGAGGAGCGCTGGGCAGTGCTGGTGGTCGGCCCGCTGAACGAAGAGTCGCTCTGAGAGGCAGACAGTTTAGTGCCAGGCTGAATCCAGGTGCCCTCTCCCCCCTTGAGGGCAGGTTTCTCCCGTGACAATGACAGCCTCTGGGGCTTCTCAAAGCCTTGGTTTTCCACCTGGTCCACCATGGGCGACGGTGTGGACAATTCTGAGATGGTGCCTGGCTCTACGAACCACGAACCTGTCCACGTGGCACTTGAAATACTTTCATTCCCCTCTTCTGCATCCCAGACCTCCGGAGATCCGCCAGCTTCCACCAAAGCTGTAGGCTTCTCCGGCCCACGTCTGCCCCCTGGCTCCTCTCTAGACACCGCGTGACACCTGGACACAAGCTGGTCTTCATCCCTCCTCTTGTAGTCTTTGACTGCGGTCTCCCTTTGTAAAGGCAACAGCACAGCTCTGCTGCTGCCAGCTCCTGTCCTTTGAAATTCAACCAGCCTGCTCACAGCCTTCTCACAGTTCTTCTCCACAGGGTTGTCTAGCAGGCGTGCAATGACTGTGGTGCCCTCCTCAGGGGAACCCCTCCTGCCCCCAGACCCCGAGGGCCAGTGCTCGACCACCAGCTGAGCCTTCCGGACTTCCCCTTGAAATCTCTCTTTCACCTGTACAAGGAGACCCTGAGGCAGTGCCTCTGGACTTGAGCTGGGATTAGGATCCAGGGGCTGTGAGGTGCCTTGGTGCAGGGTCTTGGAAATTTCCTCTCCTCCCTCCTGCTGAGGCTGTACTTTGAACTTCTCCAGTGCCTCATCATCCTCAGCAATCTCCACGCCAGGCAAGGGCTGCTCCTTGGGATTTGCCTCTGGCACCGTTCTCTTCTTCCCCCTCCGCTTCCGTTTAAAGCGAACCCTCTTTTGGGGAGACAGAGGAGCCTTTCCTGGGCCAGCAGCCTGCTCTTTCGGTTCCTTAACGCAGCCCAGAGAATTCCCCATCTCCTCTGAGCAGAAAATACCAGCAATAATGCAGCTAAGCTGGTCCCAGGCCCCTGGATAAATCCTGACCTTAGCTTCATCAGCTTAGACGCACATTTTAAAACACGGAGCACTGTGGGCGATCCCCCATATTCTCTCTCTCGCCCTCACTCACACACACGGAGTCTCTCCCAGCTGCTGCTGTTCCAGACAGCCATCTTACAGACTAGGAGCTGCAACAAGACAAATTCAAAGCATCTCACTGCAGTTCAGAAATCACTTGACCTAAAAGCAGACAGAGACTGGATTGGTTGCAGCTTTCTCTCTCCAAATATGAGGTAATTGGAGCACTGCCCTCGGTAACACAAACAGAAAGCAAGAACCAGACAGAAATCGGGGGGGGGGGGGGGGGAGGGAGGGAGAGAGAGAGGCTGGGGGAGGATGTGGGGGGAGAGAAAGGAGGGTGGGAAGTCAGAAGAAGGGAGGTTGAGCAAAGGTAGCATAAAGAAAAGGGTGGGTAGAAGTAGGGAGAAGCACGGAGAAGATGAGGAGACTCAGCACGCATACTAACAGGAAATCCCATGGCCAACGCTGCGTGGGAAGCCCACAATTCCTGCCCCTGCACGGAAACAGATTCCTCCGGGCTACGGTCAAGGCGTTTCGGAGGGTCTGCTCACACTGCCTGATGTTTACTCTATTCCTGACTGTTGTCAAATAAACAGCCTCCGACTGCTCCACTCTGGCCATAGGCAGGCTGCTTTTCCTCCAATCACAGCGGAGGAGCATACGGCGGGAGTGGAACCTCCCCAAAGGGTTAATTGTCCTTATCGCTGCACAGGACAGCCGAGGAATCCAGAGCAGCTTGGGCACCCGTTAGAGAAGGGGAGTCTCTGGGTGCTGAAACGGTAGGTCAGCAGCACACACCCTAGTGTGATTTCCGATGGCGGAGCAGCAGAGGGCACTTAGTGCCCATCCTACCTTCTTCCTGCATCCCCAAGGTGAACTCAAGCCCCCTTGCCCAGTGCTACTACAGCGATGTCACACCAGCATCCTTCCACCCTAGGCAGAGTCACGCGATGGGGACCAGAGCCCCCCCAGGACTCAGTGCTCACCTTCTCCACAACACACACACGCACTTTGGGACTAAAACCCAGCACCCTGCCTGCCCCACCCCTCCCCAGAGAGTGGGGATTTGGCTGGGTTGGTACAGGGAGCTCTGACCATTCCCTTCCTTGTAGCAAAATGCACGCCACGCACTAGACACCTGCAACATCCACCCCGCCCTCTGCCCGCCAAACAGACCCCACTAGCAGAGCAGCAAACAGCTCAGTGGCCAGCTACAGCCTTCCAAACCCAGAGACACCAGCTCCCAGGGCTGCTCCCTCCTAGTGCCCCTGAGCTGAGGTTTCATTCGTTCCCTTCCAAGCCTCCTCTCAACCAGCAAGGGGCTTGTTCGCTTCAAGGTAAAAGGCAAAACAAACTACAGGCCCACATCTCCCAAGCAGGGTTTGCACCAGTCCCCCAGCAAACAGGGAGACAAGTCATGGTCACTAGGCCTGCAGTGCAGAGATGGCACCAGGAGCTCGAAGCAAAGGACACTGCACTGCCCCTTGGCTGTTTCTTTGCAGCAGTGGGCTATGGACTTTCAAATATGGAAGACATGAACGAGATTAAGGGGTTAGCAATAGAGCTACATTCCTAGAAGAAATCTCCTTATTCCAGGCAGAGAGGCAGTGTACAACAGGGAGTGTGTAAGGCCAGGGAGCAGGCCCAGCTGTAAGCACTTAATCTCCCTGGGCCAGACCAGCTATCCTCAACAAATCCTCACGGCTGGTAGGTTTTCACTTCTTGACTGTGGAGGGAGCAAGCCCGAAACAGCTCCAGGACAGTGCCGCGGGATGGCTCCTGCACTCCCATCCGCCTGCCTCAGAACTGCAGTACACTCCCTTTGAAACCCAGCTCCTTCAGGCCAACTGCAGTGCAGCAGCACCACCTAGTGTCCCCCGAGACATCCGAAACGAGCCGAAAAAACAGGAACCATGTCGGAGATTTGGCCAAGGGGCCCCTTTTTATCCTCGCCTCTGAATTTTAGCACCTCACTTTGTGCGGTCTTAGGAAATAGGGAGAGGAGGTGGCCACATACAGACAGGGATAGTTCATTCACCTTCTACTTAGGGCTTGAATTCACTCATTTTGTTTCTCACTGCTGGAGTGAGGTCAGTGCCCGAGCTGATGGTCACACAGGAGAAAGAAATAATTATGGCCGAAAAAGAACATGAGGCCTGACCCCTCACATGCCCGTAAGAGTTATCAGTCTGCTTTGCATTCTGACCCTGCTCAACTCTTACACTTCCAAAGGCCACAGAGCGCGCTCTAGTGAGAGTCTAGTCAACACATTCAGGACCAGATTTATAGATAAACTCGTGCACCCAATTTAGGGAGTGCAAATCTGCTATAGGAGTGGCCTGAGAACACACCCCCAGAAGCCAAGATTCAAGTTCCCAAGAGTTAACCAAGTTAACCAATAGGTGCTTGAAGGGAATATGTTAAACTCTTCACCACATCGCATCTCTAGCTGTGCATTCTTGTGAACTCTGACTAGAGATGAGTGTGAACACCTCAAACTTTGCAAAGCCCAGTCTCAGAGGCGGCCCATCTATTTCTTCCCAGCGAACAGGGAGGGTGTCATTCAGAACAGATTGCTGACCACAGAAACGCGTATGGATGCTCCAGCTCTTCCCCCCTTGTACCAGCCAGGAGGGTTTCACTCTAAAAGAGGGAGCAGGATTTTCACAAGTAACTAGTGACTCCTTTAACTTGAGGCCTTGATTGTTTAGACCCCAGGCTAACACTTTCAAAAGAGATTAGTGATTTCAGACTCCCTATTTAAGACACTATAAAGGGGCCTGGTTTTCAGGAAGTGCTGAGCACTTGCCCTCTGAAAATCAAGCCCCCTTTAAGATGTCTCAAACTGAGCACCCAAAAATCATTTGTCTCTTTTCAGAGTGTTCGCTAGGAGTCTCCCCAGTGGGTTCACTGAATCGAAAAGTTCTCAGGAATTTGTTCACACAGGCACAGAGGCTGCAGCGAAGGCCTGTTGGTCTCACACTACACACCTCTAGCCAGTGCTCAGGGCCCCCTCCGGAAGGCACAAGCAGACAAATGGACGGAAACAGGCAGACACTTGTACTGACAATGAAGGCAAGTGACTGATGAAGTGGTGTTAATTCCTCATCAATATACAGCCTCTCACGTCCACCGATTGCAGAAGCAGGGAGCCGACCAGTATAAACACACTGTGCCCTAGAGACATGCTTCTCAAGCTCTCTGATGTGGGGGACCGGCAAGTTTTTTTTTCCAGAGCGCGCAGACCGGCAGCTGATGGCTCGCAGACCAGCACCAGTCCATGGACCACCACTTTGAGTAGCACTGTCCTAGAGAGCTGCCCAGGCTGAACCAAACAAGAACACAGCCATAAGACAGGCAAAAACTCCATCACAATCTATACACACAGGCAGAAATGCAATAATTAGCCAAGTCAGTGACCCCAACACAGCTCCAGAGCGCCCTGCATCACAGAAGGGCAACAGCTGCCAAGGGAGACTGGCAAGGACTGCTCAGGACATGCTAATACACGCCACCTGGACTTGCATATATGCACAGAGAACTGAAAGCAAAACTGGTTTGGTTACAGGTGGCTCCAAGGCGCTGGATTCAGAGAGGCCTGCTCTGTGAAAACCTTCTGCTTCCTCCCAGGCAGCTGTGGCCACTGGGCCGCCATCAACAAATAAAACTCCACAGAATCAATTTAGTCTTCAGTCAGCTAGCGCTGGGATTGCCCTCGCAGAGCAGAATGATTTAGTTCCTGTCAGTGGGAAAGCGGGGGGCTGGATTACCCCTATTACATGCGTGTGGATCTAGCACTCCCGTTAACAATGGTCACCCACAGCGAGAGGAGCTCTGCAGTGAGGAATGCCACTCAGAAATTCATCTGTCCACCCAAAGAGCCTCGGTGAGGAAAACTCAAATCCTATGGAAAACAGCTGCCAACAAAGGACTATTATCCGGCTTTGCAGGAAGCACAGGAGCTCCCGAGGCCACCCCGTAGTGCTGGCGTTCCCTCTATCCCGACCCCACCAGCATGCCAGTGCCATGCCTGACAGCACCCAGGCGCTCTGAGATTGCGGCTCCACCTAAGACACTCAGTCACACCAAATCCCACAGCCAGCACGTCAGGGCAGCAGCTCACATGCCTGGCACGATGCACTCCCCACACACCTGCTCAGCCTCGAACATGGGGATCCGAGCCGACACAGAACCAACGCGCCAGCGTGACGTTAAGGGCCCTATGCTGCTGCACGTGCTGCCTTTCTGCTGACATCTAAGACGGATGCCCTGACGGCCTGTGGCACTGGAGACCCTGTGACGTGGTTTGTAAGAACAGCGGTGCTAATCTCAGTGTCATGGTCAACTCCCACTTGGGCAGTTACACTCTGACAACCTAAATTCCTCCTGCCACCTCAGACGGACGGGCTATTCTCTTCCACTCATGTCCTGAACTGCCAAGTTGCATTGCCACACAGCTGCTGTCTTCCACCCGAGACAAAGGAGGTGCGATTACTAATTGACTGTACAAACTATACATAGAGGAGAGTGTGTGAAGGACAGGGAGCTTTTGGAAGGAAGGTTGCTGTAAAAACATGAGATCGCTGTAACCAAATGCACCCCTATATTCAAACCCGACACACTATTGTAATAATCTTTGTACACAATATGCCTTGTATTGTGAAAACTAATAACTCGCGCGTCAATATCATCAAGGTGAAATGTGTGTAGCAGCATTATATGTAAAATTATGAATCCCCCCTGAATGACGTTGGCAGTACATGTTCAAACCCACTTAGCCCCAACTAGGCAGAAGTGATTAAGCAGGCCTATCTTAAACACAAATCAGATGTGAAGAATTATAACATTCATAAACCAGTCGGAGAACACTTCAATTTCTCTGGTCATGCGATTACAGACATGAAAGTTGCGATATTACAACAGAAAAACTTCAAATCCAGACTCCAGCGAGAGACTGCTGAATTGGAATTCATTTGCAAATTGGATACAATTAACTTAGGCTTGAATAAAGACTGGGAGTGGCTAAGTCATTATGCAAGGTAACCTATTTCCCCTTGTTTTTTCCTACCC